ATGCGGTCGAGTTTCTTGATATGGAAGAAGCACCAGGGCCTGGGGTTGATTTGGGAGGAGCGGCAGCGATTGGAACGACACCCTTGCCACCCATGGCAGCAGTCGAAGAGCCCGTGCTTCCATAATGGCTGTTGGGCGTGCTACCGGCTGTGTTCGCCCCGGAAGTTCCACCACCACTGGCTGGACTCTCGCCTTCGTTCCCACTGGCAGACTTCGGCGCAAGAGGGCTTGTATTGACGTTGGTGGTGCTGGCAGAGCTCAGCGCACCCTTGTTGTTGCTAGGGCCGTTGATATTGGCGGTAGCGATCGAGGTTGAGAGTGACAGGGAGGAATTCTTGCGCGATCCCACATTGGAATTTCCGCCCTTCTTGGGCCGTGTGCTCGATGATCCCACAGGGAGATTGGCTCCAGAGCCTCTGTTTCTCTTCTTGATGACATCTGTCTTTAAACTCAACGGTCTCACAACACCATGGAGCTTCAAGAACAAGCCACACGCATTACATAACGGCTGACCTTCAGGATTACGTCTCCACAAAGGCGTTGTTTGAGTGAAACAGTTCGTACATGTGGTAGGGCCATTTCCATCGTTCTGGCCACCAGAAGCACCTTGAAGATTGGTAGAAGAACCCGACTTGGACATAGGTGGCGAGGAAGGTCTGCTAGGGGCGACTGACGAGAAGCCTGACATGGACCCGTGCACATTATCTGGGGAGGTTGGCATTGTCATGGCAAGGTGATCGAGACCGTTGGAATTGCTTGCCATATGCGAGGACGTCGAGGCCGTGCGGGAGAGCTTGGGCTGCCTTTGTCGGAACGACTGTGATCGCCCCAGACCGCCACTTTCCCAGTTTCCATTGTTCTCATCATACTCGCTAGGTGTGTTTCCCATTGAAACCTGCTTCCGAATAGGCCCACCCGGGAATCGAGCAGCTTGAGTGCTGAATTGACCGGGTAAAGAAGCATCCCAGCCCATAGTGCTAGCATCATCGCCGTTGGACGGGTACTCGCCAGAGACACCCATATTTCGGTCAGCAAATGCGTTGTCTTCATCGTCGGATTCACCGCCGAAGTTGAACATGTTGTTCTCATTTGACATGGGCACCCCGTTAGAAGTGAGTGATTGCTCGGACTGGAAGACCTGAGCGGGATCAATGTGCCCGAAGGTAGAAGGCGCAGTGCCGTTGTAAGTGCCCGAGTCCTGGCCGGAAGTTGGCGAGGGGAACATTGCGGTGCTCCCGTTGCCCTGAGAGCGATCATACATGAGTTGCTGGCTCACTTGGCCATTGATGTTGGGGGCTCCTTGCAGGTGTTGTGCTGCATGTTGTCGCATGTCCTGGGGTGGGAAGTAGAAGTTGTCATTGTCGGTAATAGGATGAGGTGTCGTCACTGCGGACTGGTAGGCGGAGCCAGTGGGCGAGTAGATCTCGTTGGCATTTATTGAGCCGGCTGTGATGCCTGCGTTGTTAAACATGTTGGAGAAAGGGCCAGTTGAGACCATAGGGGATGTGCCGGGGGAGAAGGCGAAGTTTTGCTGGTAGGGGCCAGCAGATGTCATGATAGGCTCATTCTCCATGAAAGTGTCGAAATTGAAACTTTGGACAGGGGGTGGGGCAGACATGTCGATGTGGGCGGAGGTGTCAAGGGAGTAGTCATGGAGTTCGGAGTCAGGTTCAAGATCATGTTGCGCAGCGTTTGTGCCGCTGTTAACCGCCGGAACATGTGGTGAGAAGTTGGCTGGGCGCTTCCGCGTCTGGAGAGCAGTTTAGTTTCATGAACCGATAAAAGAAGGAAAACAACCGATATCTTGAGAGGGGGGGGGGGGGGGGGGGCTTTTAAGAGAAGTTGTCTTGAGAGGCTAAGATCGTTGGACTCTAGTTGGGAAGAGGAGAGGAAAGGGGGGTAGGGAGAGGGGGTAGCGCGGGTTGCTCATCATCGGTGACATCCATGATGTATATGAGACCGGGGTATTAAATAGACACTGTTGTTGAACGGAAGATGAAGAGGAGAAAACAGAAAAGACTCACCCGGCGATCATCTATACTCGTCTTGCGAACATGGCGGTTGACATAATTGAACTCGCTGGTAGGATGTTGCGCAGGCTCAGGCACAGACTGTGGGACAAACTGGTTCTGAAGGTGTTGCTGCTGGATCCTGTCCTTGCGCGATTTGATGAGAATACCATTTGCTGTTTGGGCATTTAGTGGTGGATGGATATCTGAGTGCTTTAATTGTGGTGAGGGAGAAAATGAGATGCCGGCAGGGGTTGCGGCATTCTCAGAGAAGATGAAGTCGTCAATGTTCATTGGATCCGTGCTTTCGTGGCTATTGGCCACGGCCTCGGAGAAGCGCAACTGGGCAATGCCGCTTGGGGTATTCTGCTGCATCGTGTGCCGACCAGTCACAAGCCTGTGATAAATGGTGAGGTTAGCGCATTGAACGGAACGAACCCTGCGGAATGCATCTCGTAGATAAGCATCGCAACCGCACGAGGAAAAAAGAGAACAGGTGCACAACAGCTTGTGAAGACGTTGGCTGCAAGAGCCAACGGGAAAATCAGAAGAAAAATCAAGGCGGCACCGTACTTTTTCTGCAGCTCCTCCTCCTGCCTCTGTTTGCGCAGCTGGACGGCCATCATCCGCCAGGTCATGTTCTCCATGCGCTCTTGGTGCGGGAGCTCCTGCTTGGTGCGACTGAAGAATTTCCAGATCTGAGTAGCCAGAGGGTCGTCCTGCTGCATCTGCACTATCGTCTGGTCGGAGCCGGAATTGGCGTCCTTGAGGAGAGGGAAGAGGGAGGGGCCAAGTAATTCGTTGCTGGCAGCCTCGTTTTCCACGGCCAGGTTAGGGTTGGGGCGGCGGGAGGGCATGGCAGCCGCCGGATAGCAGCGCCCTCCACTCAGGTTCTGCTGTTTGTCGCGAGCAGTTGGCCGGCGAGGAAAGCGGAAGTCGTGCTCTGTCGTCGTGGGGTTCATGCGTGCGGCCGGACCCAAGGTAGGCGGCATCGCTGTTCGAGTAGCCATGGGCAAATGTGTGCTTGCGCGAGGGTGAGGCGGATGGGGATGAGAAGGATGGGCGGGCAGAGGAAAGAAATGACGGAGGGATTGGGCCCCCCACACGTCAAGCAAGGCAAGTCAGTGTGTCCAGCGCAGTGGATGGGTGGTGCTGGAGGTGCTGGTACGGGTGCTGGAGCTGGTGGTGGTGGCCGGAGCCAGGTGGCTGCGACCGTATCGGGTACGTGGGCTTCGAGGTGAGGGTACCTGTAAGCAGCACGAGCATGAGTCTGAGGCCGTCCTGGGAACAGCTGCTCATCCAGAGTTTCTGGACGTGATCAGGCGAGAAAGACGGGATCCGAGCACAGCGATGGAAGAGAAAAAAAAAAAAACCAGGCCCTGGCGACGGCTTCCGGGCTACGAGGATGGACAAATGGAATGTCAACTGGGACTCGGTCGCTGGCTAGAGTGAACGGTGTTGGAGTAACTTTATTAGAAAACCTCCACTCGCGCAGGTAGGAGGTACCCCGTCGGTACTAAGATCAAGGTGCTATGTGATATGGCAGCCATCCATCGCCTTAAACTCTCAACTAGTGCCTACCTTCCGACAGACTTCCAATTCCAGCGTGCTGCGCTTGCGACTTGACTTGTACCGACACGGGCCCCGATGCGATGTCGCCCACCCGTGGCCTCGCATTCTCAGTGGGCTAGCCAGGAGCTTGGCCTGCTTGGCTCCCCGGCGCACATAGTGCCGAAGTCGCCACAAGATCCAACTCGCTGCGCCAAACCGCACTACGGACCCGCAGCTTTACCCCCCTGGTGCGCGGTTGAGAGTGCGAGGACATGCCGTAGTATTTTCTCGCAGTGGGGGGACGGGCGGGGGGGAGGAGAGAGCACAGTTTACAAAGTTGGGGGTCGTCTCCAGAGCGGTCCAAGCACCACTTATGATGCCACCACACACCGTGAGACCTTGCCCAGGTATTAATAAACGCTGGCCCCTCTTTTGGGGCCCTGGCCGGTTCGGGGGATATTCCTCCTCGTGCACGGAGGCCTACTACAGAGTAGGCAAGGTAGGTCATGATGGTGGGTACCGTGCTTGCTGCCTGACTGGTCGGCTTGCTGCTGGAGCTTACCTCGGTTCTAGTTTCTGAGGTTGAGAAAGCCTTAATAAGGGCAACTAGTAATGAATCAGGGCCCTCGAGATACGAGCCCCAGAGCGATCGTGCTTCACAGTGTCCCCCGTCTATAGCGAGCGCAGACAAGTATCGACCAACGCATGACTCTGGGGGCGGATGACAGGGAAAACAGGACTAGCTACCGTCTACCGAGTCATCCTGAACCCTTCGATGGGGATTGGAGATTCGTGGCAGCAAAGCCTGTAATAACGGTCCCCGGCCGTGTACATTGTGTCGAGTACAGGTACATCGAGCCTTGGTCTGTGCTGCCTCCGCATCGTTCATGGAGGATCGATTTCATTTTGTCGTTTCTACAACCGGCCATTTTCTTGTTGGCTTGTTACACAACCTCGTCTACGTACCTAGTCGATGAGTTGATATGTTACTCCATTGTTGAAAAATGACCACCATCGCCGTGGTGTTTCGCTCATCTTTCAAAGGTAGCTACTATGTCCTGGTAGTCAGGTCTGAGTCCGGCCGCCGGCTAATAGCAGCCCTGCTTCGGGACCCTCCGCTTCTCCTCTCTTTTAGTCAATCTAGAAACACATGAATTGCCAGCTGCAGCATTACCTCATCATTTTGGAAAGAGGGACAAAACATCGCTGCTGCACTGCTTTATCTTATCAAAAAGCGCAAAACGATGAGTAATTCCTGGGACGTACGGGTTTATTACTTCTAGCGCCCTCGCTGGATCCCTAGCGAAAATAAATGGGTTTGGCAAAGCCAAGGCGGAGGGATGTGTATGTACAACGGCTGCATGTAACCTCGGAAAGCCATTGAGAGCATCCTGGATCGCCCCAGTGCCCTGGAAGAGCCATGACTGGCTGGCCTGGTGGTTAAATGAGCGACAGAGCTCTGGCAGAGGAGTTGCTCGGTTGGGTATCCCGGGCTTCCTGGCTGGATGCGATGCCATGGAATGCCTCCGGGCTCCATGCCTCTGCGCGCAGAGGCTGAATTGGCGCTTACCTACCTGTTTTATCCTCGTGCGATCCCGCGGCCATGTCGGTCACGGTGGAAGATGGCCCGAGCCGGTGCTGCACCGAGTCTCCATCCGCCATGCTGGCCGTTCGAGATCCCCAGAATTCTAACTCATTTCTCTTAATAATAAGTTGTAGCCATCCGATCCCAGATGGCAGCGATTCGCCGGCCTTACCACGGGCGCAAGGGCGCCCCGTAGCACCACTAGTCCCAGGGAGCATGGCAAGCATGGTTGGGCTTCGAGGACCTCGAGGCACCCTGCACGGTCCCTGACTCCCTGTGGCCAGCGGGCTTTTTAGAGGGGCCCTGGGCCCGCTTGCGCTGCAGCCACCGACAGAAGGAACCCCACACCACCTTTGGAGAGCACGCAGAGCCCTGGTCTATCATCTGCATGACGACGAGAACATTGCAAACTAATTTTCTCTGCGCCGTGTGGCATATTGCTGCTGGAGCCTGGGCCCTCTACCAGCCCGCACAGTACATGCTGAAACAATGCTGGAGGCTGCTAGGGAGAGGCTAACGGAGCGGGCTGCAGGAGAGGAGTCGCTTCGGCGGCCAGGCAGCCAGACGCATCCAACGCCGCGCCATTGTGCCCCGCCCCGACCATGGCTCGAGCTACCCTCGTGGTTCTACGATTTGCCCGCCTCTCCAGGAAAAAGAAAAAGGTCGGGATGGGCGTTGGCCCTGGTGCTATATAGAGCTGTTGCTTAAGGATGGACTGACAGATCAGACGAGCACTTGCATGAAACACCACGCTGACCCCCACACAACTCCCAGTGTGTGTTGCATGGATGCGGGCCAGGGTCTGAGCTGATGATGTCCTCATTTGTTTAATGGCAGGCCTGTGATTCATCAGCCAGCGGGCGCCGGGCAGCGAATGACAAGCCGTAGCTTGAGATGGGTAGTACAGACAGTAAAAGGCTGTACTAGATGGCTTTGATCTCTCGCATACATAGTGACATACCCACACATCCATACCTACCTTATACGGGATTGACTTGCTCCCTCCCATTTGGCTCCGTCCCCTTTCTTTTCCATCTTCATCTAATGAATCTTTTCCCGAGACTATGGTCCTCCTCCGGCGGCCGTTGCTCGTTTTCGACGGAGGATCGCCGAGCTGACCGACCATGGTTTTACCTAGAGCGAAGGCCAGGCAAATAAAAACAGGCGCTATCCTCGGAGCTGACACGGGCAATATTGCTTTCGTTGCCTGTGTGTTTTCTAGCTTGGCCTTGCGCCGCTCCATTAATAATCTGTGGAGTCTGTCAACGGGCGCGGACATCCCCGAAACAGACACCAGAGAAGATCACCATCAATCGACGGGCATCGACTGAGACAAGGAGCACCAGGCAGGGACAAAAGCCACTCTAAATTCTAGCTTTCTGCCGGCAAGAAGGGCGACCTCGCGACTATTGTCTGTGCCATTTCTGCTTCTACAGTAGCAGCAGGCTCGGTACACACTGCCGTTCATGCATGACCATGGCTGACGACCACACCTGCGTCTGACTACTCATGCTAGTATGTCGTTGCGGGCGCAACGTCCGACTACGCAGGCCCGGACTAACCTTACGGAGATTGAATCACAGAGCCAGACATGTTTGCAGGGGAATGAGCCCGAGCGCGTCTGTTTTAAGCCTCCCTCTCGAACCGACCGTCTCCACTTGGAGCCGTGCGTGAGTCGTCGACGATCTAGGCGAAAGCAGGGCCTGGAATTCGATTGCCACCAGGGACGACGGGCGCCCTCCCGGTCAAGCGGACTTGGGGCGACGACGATGCGTGGTAATTCCTCACATTCCCTCGAGAAATCGCCGGGCGATGGGAGGGTGGTAGATGCACCGCGTTCCAAGCCAAGTAACAATCATGTAGATGTGTGACGGTCACAACACAAGACGAAGAAGAAAAAGCCCAGACCGGTGGGCGGCGCGGGCAATAATTGGAGTGCGTGTTCGTGTAACTGTCACATGTGATTCCCGCCCTCACCCTCACCACATGTTTTTTGGCATCATGAGATTGTCTGCCACCCCCCCTGGCCACCTGAAAAAGCACAATCTGCCAGCCAGTATCTCAACTGCATTAGCTGCCGTCACACCCATGCCCACTCACCGAACAGGTTGACCGAGATGGGTTGAATGCATGAATGCCCTCACATTATAAGACGGGCTGTTGTCCCGCCATCGGAGTGACAGTGCGGTCTTTCTCGTGCTGGATATGTTGCGTTGCAATATCGGCTTACCCTTTTGGGCGATGCAGGTTCGCGCTCAGCCTGACCAACAGCGACTTGTGAGCACCCACTACTTGCTGTACCTCTTCCAACGTATATGTACGTGCCCACCAGGGTCAATATTGCCCTCGTTTCAATTATTGCTGCCCGCCACCAGCCGTGCTCTGCCTGGTTTCCATCTTCTTAGAGGCTCTGTCAGCTGAGGCCGTTGCTGTGCACGCGACTGGTCATTTAAGCACTGCCTCGCCCATACATTTAGGGTAAAGAACGAGGGACAAGGGAGAGTAAATTCATCATCATTGAAAGCATTTCTATATATATATCGTTATCGTAAAATCGTTAAAAGTAAAGGGCTTCCCAGTCGTAACGAGGAGCCACGTAAAACATAATGAAAATCATAAACTTGTCGTTTTGTCGTTTGTCCTTCCCCCTTTTCCTTGCCGTACCAACTCACAAGCAAGTCAAACTTTTGCCGCCGCCTGGTATCTCATGAGGACTTATCCTTCCCGAATAGACGTTTCCAAATGCATGTGCCAAAAACCGTGCTAAATAGGAACTAAATGAATGAAACTGAGAGAGGGAGGGTAAGATGTATCTTGAAAAGTAAAGGAAATTGAAAAGAGGGCGTTTGACCTAGGAGAGGGAGGGAGTGAAGGGTGGCCCGTGTGATAACATCGAATCGTTGTATGCCTGTACTAGAGGCAGTCGATCATCTAATTCAGAAGATCAAGCTGTATTTTGGTTTGGGTTTTACCTGGCCCTTGCTCTTTGAGCTACAGGGTCGTGAAATGGGAAGACTGTCTTGGCTTCGTCGATGAAATTCCAGACCCTGAAGTCTCCTATTAATAGGTTTCGAATCGACCTCGTATCTAAGGAAGTTAGTTGGTTCATAGATATATTGCAGAGTCAAAAACATACCCAACGTACTGAGTGACCATCGTGACTCGGGTGCTCCTTTGACTTCATAGAGGCTTTCGTCTCGTACGTCCGTCGTCTGTGCATGATACACTGGGGGCCCATAGGACACTGGCAACGATGGGGAAAGGCCTTGAGACCGAGGTCGTTTCGAGGGCGATAACTCGTAAAATTCTGGAATCTCTGAATCACTCATCTCATTGCTGTAGAGAATTGGCCGTCTATCAGCGCTCATCCTGGGGGTATAGATTGTCCGAGGCGTCACGGGTGTTCTCGGCGTTGTCGGTGCCCTGGACCTTGTCATGCTGGGAGTGGCAGAGATGAAGGCCGTGGGGGATGGAGAATGTTTACGGGACCGCGAGCGAGTGAAGCGGAAGCTGTGAAACCACCTCTTGATCTTCCGTGTAACCCACTTCAAATGTTCCCGGAAGTCTCGCTTCGGCGGTGGCTTCCCTTCCATGAACGCGCGGGAGGAACTCGACGATGGCAGCCGGAGCTGGTTCTCTGCAACATTTCTGCGACGAAACATCCTGAATAGAGAACACCTGAATTGACCTGAAGCCGAATAACTCGAGATTATCCTGTCTATAAATGTTCAACCCACCAGAAGGGTTAGACATTAGACCGGGATCTTAAAATGCTGAGCTAGCAAGAGTATGCGCTTAATGCCCTGGTGCCCCATCTCCTGGACAAGCACGCCGGATTTTCAATATGCATGCAGCAATTACGAAACCTTTGAGGTACGCCACGCATGAAATAAGACGATTCTTGCACGCAGTGACGGGCTCCGGTGGAAGCTGATCAATGGCTTATCCACCAAAGTAATGCCGCCCGGCCCCCGCGGGGAACATGGGCATTGAGGAAATAGGAAACCAGTGTAGGCTTCTGCTGGTCTCTTATTAGATCTCGATACCAGGATTCATGAAACTCACTGGGTGACCCTGGCGTATGCACATCTGATCATGAACGCTATTGGTCGTCGAAGAGATGTGGGAAGGTTGATGCCGTGTGCCCTGGCACTGCCACAAAGACGGAATGAGAATTGTGCGGACATAGAACGAGAAGACCCGGAAGTGCTGGGAATAAATTGATCTGAAATGCAATGCAGCCGGAACAGCAGCCGTCCCGGCCGGCCGTTTTGCTTCACGCACGACATCGCAGCTGCAGAGTGGCAGACAGGGCGCCGGTGATGGGTCCTTTTGTCCGCCATCACATACAGGCAACAGGTTTTCAGTCCCGCTTTGAGGCAATAAAGAATCTTTCCGGCGACAGTTCTGAAAGGAAGAGCGTCAGGCACAGAGAGAAAAAAGTTCCCATCTAGCCAGCTGGCTATCAGAAGCAAAGTGCAGGAAGCACTCCACTTATTACCAGATAGACAAGTCATTATGCATATGGGTGGAATCGAAAGGGAGGAACTCGGCTTGAGAGCGAATGCCAGCCAATTCCTTGCTTTGCTTAGACGCTCGCGGCTATATGCCAAGACGAATCAATGCCAAGCATAACAGGGTAGAGGTCTGCGCATGACGTTGCGGCATGTAGGCCGCCTTCTTTCTTCATGCGAATCATCGAAGTTCAGAGAAAGCAAAGCACCCACTTGGCCCGGCACCACTTGGCAACACGCAGCACATAGAGAGATCTTGGTAACGTGACCTGAACGAACCAATTGACGCTAGACACGAAAAGTAGCAGAAAATCCGAATAAATGCGCCGCTGTGCGAGAGATCCCGAGTCCATGCACATCGAGGATCGACGGACATATATGGGAAAATCGAGAACTATTTCTGTTCATGGCCTTGCCGCCTAAAGGTCTGAAAAGAGATGATATGATCAGGCATTATAGTCGGAAAATCCCACTAAAGACGCTTCTTCATTGATTGATTGAACGATTGGTTTGGTAAGTTTCCTGTGTAGGTCTGCTACAAGGTCGATCAACTGTCTGTGGCATCGTGAATTCAGTGTAACCCTGCTCCACCGTTGACATGTAGGTCCTCCTTGAGAGGCAGTCACCGCATCTGCCATATTACGTCTTCTGTTTAATAAGTCCCTCAAGTGAATAAAAAGAAAATAAAGAGGAACTCGCCACCTTTCTCTGTCATATCATTCAGTGATTAACTGCTCCAACGTAGGTTGTGGGCTTGAAGCTTACCTCGGCCATGGCCTAATCAACCAATTCGTGTAAAGCACCCACAACACATGTCCTCTCGGATCCAGTATGAGGTCCATATCCCGCCGAGACACGTCTATGCACCTACCGAAGAGCAGCTTCCCAAGCCAGCTAGTTCAGCAATCGGGAGTAAACGTCGATGTTTTTTTTAGGGTGAAGGATGTGTGTGTTGGCAGATAGCGAAGCAGGATTATGGCAAGCCCGATAATCCTCGGGCTTTGATCAACTGAGGATGCGATGCATCTTGATCACCATAGTACCAAGGGCCCATGGATTGATGAGGGGCCAAGTGTCCTGTCCTGTGGCATGTCGATGAACACACCAAGGCGCGTGTCACTGCTGGCCAACAACAGTGACGTGGAATAAAGCTGGAACTTGAGCCAGACCAAAGGCATTATGCGGATTAGACACTGCAGCCATGCGGGATCTCGTTTCGTCTTCACAAACCAACAACTGTTCGTGCTTTATGCCAGTACCTTGCTCCATCATCCCGACCTTTTTAAGAAGGCAAAGATCCAATGTCACGACGAAAGGGAAAAGAGGTCGATAGGAATAAAAAGAAGAAAGAGGCGAAGGAGTAAAGGGAGCTTTCGACGTGTGACCGCTTTTTGGCCACCAAGAAAGGTGCGACACAAGTGATTCATATCAGACATGGGATGGCTAGCATGGGCATGAAACCTCCTTTAAACTCCATCTCATTCGAGGAAATCATTTCGACGTGGCTCGACCAGGGGTTTCAACGATTGGGTATTTCCCTGTAGACTTCCACTCTCCGCCAGTTTACGATTATTGAACGAAGGACGATGGCCGGAGCAGGATACCTAGCACATCACTACTCCTATAAGACTTCTCTCTCATCCGTGTCGATGATGGAGATCGGGATTGTCTAAACAGAAATGACAGTCCCGCAACACATAATAAATCGATGCGGGTGTATGTCCCTCTTGTATGAAAAGAATTGTCGTCATTTTTACACAAGATAATACCATGAGATATGGCGGTTAAACAAATGGCCAGCAGGAGCCAATCCTCCTTAATCTTCTAAATCAGAAGAACAGATTTTGGTTGAGGATGCACAGATCTCATTGGACTAGAAAGTGATTGATATGGTTTTTTTAACTGACAACGAGGAGCTTCACACCCAGCTACTGCTTAACAGAATCGAGTTGGACCCTGCAATTCGAGTCAAAGGGGGGCATTTGAGCCGGGGTCCTTATTCGTGAAGCATCGGGTGTAGCCAGGTGCTAGAAGAACGGTTAAACAAAAAATTCACCATTGTAGATCCATCGTGAAGAAGGGTTTGGCAGATCATAAATTCAAGTTGTTATTAAAAGCAAAACAAGCAGTGTCAGGGAGGAAGTCGTCAAAGGACGCTGTGGTGCTTAGTCAGCGGGATTTTGATCTGCTTCCAGACTTTTGGTCTCCTTGACTATTGCATCACCAGCTCAACACCTTGCATCAAGTTTTTGACAGTCGCTGCCACGAGAAATCTACCACGCCAGCTTAAAAACTTACTTCAAAAGAAACAGCTGGACAAGCATGGCCGGGGAACGGAATATCAACCCCGTTCAGGCTCAACGCAAGGCCGAGAAGGCTCGAGCCATCAAAAAAGGTTAGCCACCATCATTCTCTTCACCCCAAATGCAATGAAGCCATTTCTAATACCTCTTCTCAAGGCAAGGCCGATGTCCAGAACCGGAAAAACGAGAAACTCGCGCAAAAGAACCCAAACCGGATACAAAAACAGATTGACGATCTCAAAGCGGTTGCGACAAGCGGTGGGAAGCTCACTAAACACGAAGAACAGGTACTGGAGGGCTTGGAAAGAGATTTGAAGGCAGTAAATAAGGCACGAGAGAGCCTTGGGGACCGAGCGCCTACATTCAGCCGGGGCTGGAACCGCGATCGAGATTCTGGGCAAGGCGTGCTTGGCAAGAGGAGGCGAGGTGATCAAGATGCATCCAGCAGTGACGAGGACGTTCCTGAGGATGTCCAGAAAATTCCCATGCCACGGGACACGCCCCCGCCTATTCCGAAAGAAGTTCTAGACGAATGGTATGCGAAGCGACGGGCGCGTAGAAATGCAGAAAATCCCGAGAAACAAAAGGAGAACGACAAGTCAACATCGAAACAAGAAACGCCCACCGTGGAGTCCAAGACAGTTTACTCGGCGGCACCTGTCAGTCGCGATCTCCGAAAAGAGGCCGTCGCTGCATTTGTTCCCACAGCGGTCAAGATGAAAATGGACAAGGGCAAGGGCCAAGGGGGTCTGATCGAGCCCGAGGAGGCGGATAGGTTAGAGAGGGAAGGATATCTCAAGCTAAAGTCCGATCAAACTAGCGGTCCGGTTTCCGGGGAAGATGACACACCGCCCCGTCATCGAACGGTCACGATGGAGGAAGTTGAGGACGAGGAAGCTTGAACGGAGTCACTTTTACTAATAGCGATCCCCATTGAAGGAGGCCCAAATGGAAGATATGACGTCAAAGCCGCGACTCGGCTTGCGCTTGGTGTTTCCCTAGTTGAAGCGACGAATAAGGTGCGGCGACAGAGTTGGCGAGAATAGCAATGGGCTTATCTTCAAGCATCATATCGTTTGGAACATGTCGAGGTTGGCGACCCAATTGGCTCGGCCTCGGCTTCTTGCAACTGGCGGGGCAGCCATTGCGCGAGAAGAGGAAAAAATTGAGCTATTGGGGAGGTGGATGACGAACCGATCCTAGTTCCCCATATCTCGGCTTCGGCTTGAGTAAACTTCGCCCTCAAACACAGCAGTCGACGAATCACAGGTTTCCATTACGCTCTTTTTGCCTTGGTATGGAGTAGGATCCCGCGAAGGCTTGCCGTTTTCACGGAAGTGCGCTCTCGGATCCCCACTCCGAAAAGCGGAGCGAGCTCCCCACGATCAGTTTTTAAGCTTGATCATATCCTCCGGCGTGGTTGCTTGAGACAGAGACAGCCACACGCACCACATCTCGGGCTATTTATGCAAGTATATGTCTCTAACGAGTGCGAATAAACATCTGAAACATAATCATATCCTGATAGGGGCTCGCCCAGAATAAAATATGGACGTTCACCAGGTTACATCGAATGCCGTGCATGATGGCCCTGACGATGTAACTCCGGCCGACGATTTCGCACAGCAATACGACTATGACGGAAGACACAATGGTCTGGAAAAGCAAGCCACCGCAGTCTCCACGGCTTCCTACCAAGAGACGTATCCAGAAGGAGGACTCCAAGCATGGCTGGTCGTGGTTGGTTCATGGTTCTCTCTGCTATCATCGCTCGGCCTGATGAACACCATCGCACTCTTTCAAGCTTACGTCCTCACCCACCAACTCAAAGACTATAACGAAGGGACGGTTGGGTGGATTTTCTCTATATACACATTTCTGGCATTCTTCTGTGGCGTTTTCATCGGTCCGGTTTTTGACAAATATGGCCCTCGATGGCTCGTGGTTGCTGGGTCAGCTCTCACCGTGATTGGTGTTCTCGCTATGAGCTGGTGTACGGGTAAGTCAATCACCTCTTACAGTTGAAAGATTCGGAATCAAAGTATTAACCAGCTGGTACTAGAACTTTGGCATTTCATTCTCTCTTTCGGGGTGGTAGCCGGGATTGGAACCTCGCTCCTTTTCACACCGGGCATTGCTTCTGTAGGCCATTGGTTCAAGGCGAGGCGCGGGTTCGCAACCGGTATTGCATCGACAGGCGGAGGAATTGGCGGCATTGTCTTCCCTCTGATGCAGACGTCGCTCTTTGAAAAAATCGGATACGGCTGGACCGTCCGTATTCTGAGTCTCATCTGCCTTGTCTGTTGCTTGGTTGGCATCGTCCTCGTCCGTAGCCGTCTCCCGCCCGCAAAGAACGCCAGCGCATGGCCCGATTTCCGTATTTTCCGGAACATTCCATTTCTTCTCACTACCATTGGCATTTTCCTTCTAGAGTTTTCTCTCTTCATTCCGCTGTCTTACATCTCGACTTATGCCGTTCACGAAGGTTTCAGCCAAGAGTTCGCATACCAATTATTGCCCATCATGAATGCGGGGTCCTTCTTTGGCAGAATTCTTCCCGGGTACTACTCTGATGCGGTAGGTGCCTTCAACACCTGCATGTTCTCTGTCGTCTTGAGCTTCGTCTCCTGCCTATGTGTATGGCTTCCCTCCGGCCACACCACTGCCGGCATTATCATCTTCTCTGTCCTCTTTGGCTTCGGGTCGGGAACCAGCATCGCTATCGCTCCCGTGTGTATCGGGCGACTGTGCAAGACGCAAGAGTACGGGCGATATTACGCGACTGCATACACCATCGTATCTTTTGCCTGCTTGATCGGCATTCCCATCGGCGGGAATATCATTCAAGCTAACGGCGGAGCTTACCACGGACTTATCATATGCACCAGTGTAATTTATATTGCATCTTTTATCTCTCTGCTGGCTGCGAAGGCTACGAGTTTAGGTTGGAGCAAATGGCTGGCAATTTACTGAGCGATTGCATCCCCTACCCCCTACCCCTGCCCCTTTTATTTGGCTGCTAGAGAGCGGATTTTTTATCTGTATATTTGCTTTGCACGATTCCCTCACTACGGTAGGTACGTTTCGGCTGTTTGGCATACATATGCGTTGGAGTTTAAAAATCGATTTGGCTTTTCTTTTCTATTTTTTTCCCCATAGACATCAGAATGATCCAACAGGACAACCTAATTATGAACCCTTATGTTGTCCGTTGCAGTTAGATTCCTATAGCATCAAATAACGAACGTTTGAAATTTTCGCTCGTACGCATTTTCCCAATAAATGACGCCTATGTGGTCTTCTATTTGTTCGCTTTAATATGCTGGTCGTGCAGCTCCTTCACCGCGGGGATGATGAAGCGCTCAATCTCCTCCCCGGGCTCCTCCTTGGGGACCTCGCCCTGCCTCAGCCTCTTGACGTCCTCCTCGGACCACTCCCTGCCCCGGCGCTTGACCCTGAGCCAGTTGTCCTCGCGCCCGGGGCTGACGAAGACGACCTCCCACTTGCGCGTGGCCAGCAGGTTCCCGATGACGAGGTGGTGCTGGTACCGCTCGAGCGAGTACCGCGCCTTGGTCACGAGGATGGTCGGGTCCGTCTCGAGCTTGAAGGAGGAGACCATCCCCCGGGGCGCCCACCCGTCGACGAGGTTGAGGAGCAGCTTGGGCACGGGGTCCAGATCAATGATCAGCCGCTTCGACCGCGGCACCCTGGGGCTGGAGTCGAAGTTGTCGAACTCCTCCTCCTCTGAGTCTTGCTTGCTGCTGTCTGCACTGTTGAGATCCTGGCCGGCGGCGGCGGCGGCTGCCTCCTGCGCCCGCTTCCCCAGATCCGTGGATTGGATCTTGTGCTCGGCCATGCGCTCCGGGGGCACGAAGAAGTCAGACACGGCCGCGGCCAGGTACAGCAGGCCGCGGGGGCCGAGAGAGGCCATGAGGCGGGAGATGGCCCGCAGCTCGTGCAGGTAGTCGCCGATGGTCACAAAGGGGATGCTGAGGAGGAGGTTCTCGGTGCGGGCGGTGTGGTAGCGGCTCAGGATCTCGACCATCTTGGTCGAGACGTCTGGGCGGGCACTCACGCCGCCGCCCTGGCCGACCTCGAGGAAGTCGAGGAAGCCGCCGGTGGTGGCGTGGGAGAAGTGGCGGGCGTACGGGGTCAGGCTGAACTCGCGGTGGAGGAAGATGACGGCGTAGCCAGCCTCGAGGAAGTACTCGGCGCTGGTTGCGCCTCGGGTGCCGGCGCTGAAGTTGTCGATGAAGCGCACCGTCTGCTTCTCCAGCGGCACCGTGGTCCCGCCGGATGTGACGAGGACCACGCGGCGGCCGGCGGCAGCGTGGGCATCAATGAAGGCGCGGGCCTGGGCGGCATGGGCCTCTAGATGTCGCGGGGGTGGGTTTGTGGAGAAGTAGACATCCTCCTGGTCTTGGGCCGACATGGTGGAGGAGGGCCGAGGTGGTGTTCAGTGCCGCCTCACAAGCTGAGGACTGTCTGTGCGGGCTCGGTTCAATCCAGGCCACGCCAATTGGTTGTGAGCTGGGACGGGATGCTTTGGAAAGGGTGACAATGGATGTGATAGAAAACGAAAGAAAACCAGGCTGAGTTATTTTGCTTCACGGCGGGTCGGGGCATTGCCTTTTACTCTTTTTTTCTGTGCTCACAACTACGAAGCAGCATCCATCCCGGAGGGTCGCTCACGAGCGGAGAATGACCAGACCACATGCAGATCCTGTCAATTGCCCCTCTGCAAGCGAGTGGATAATAGCCTCGAAGGCACAAGGCAAGGACAGCAGGGGACAGAGGCAGATACAATCACCTAGGGCGAAAGGAAAGAGCCTCACCACCACCACGGCCCGGCCCAAGATGCTCACATTCGGCATGTAGCGGATGTACTGCGATGCGATGTGGCAATTAGTGTGTAGGTGGGCACCACCATCATGTGCCGGGAGCTACTTGACCCTTGCCCCCACCAGACGTCACTCGGACCAACGCTATTGGTAGTCCGAGACCATGTCCAGACCTCTCAGAGGGACAGCCGCATTCTCGCAGACCGCATCGCCATCATGCACCTTTGGCAGCAGCGAATATGCAATGCACGACTGGATACGGCCTGGCCGGGGTCGGCATCTGGAGAAGACCCTTCAACTCCGGGACAGGTGGGGCGTGTGGCCCTGCAGCCGACAGCATGACGGCTTTTGTCCCTACAACCAGGGATATAATAACTCCTCCGGCGGGGACATTGGCTACTTCGGCTTACGCTTATCACGTTGTGCCATGATAGTACACTGTAACATGGCTTCTTCATCTCTATGGATCGGTAATATGCTCTTTGTATTTATGCGTAAATGTACTCTACTGTATCATCTAGATACGTACTCCTCATTATCTACTTCGGGTTACCTGCCGTGAGTCTCCACGCCCTGAGCGGAAGACTTTGGAGGTGTGTAACCTTCGGCTTGATGTACCACAGGAACGTGGCCAAGCCAAACGCAACGCAGAGCAGATTGACTGAATTATAGCCATCCCTCTGCATTTCGCAAATACCTCCTCCATTCTCACACCTCTCCTTCTCGGCCTGGACAGAGCATGAGAATGCAGCTGTTACCAACGGTCCTTTGAGAGCAGAGGTATCGGCCCCGGCGCCTGGTGGGGTGCATGTAGCGACGGTGAAAGCGTCAACGAGCTTCAGGACGAAATACCTGGGGAATGTGCCTCCCAGGTTGCAAACACTATCACAGTCAATGTTAGTAACCGAAGCAGAACAAGTGATGAACATGCGGGCAGACTCACGTAGCCAAGAGTGTCATATATGTGCCTCCGATGACCGGGTCAGAAACCCGAGCGTGGAAAGCCGACACGGCCACAAACATGATGGTGTTGGTAAATGTTGAGTAGACATGAGAGAAGATGACCAACAACATATACCACGAAGTAACGCCTGCCGAAGGGTAGATAAATACGGTGAACTGGGCCAAGATGGCGGCTCCCAGGCGTCCCATGAATCCCCAACACCAAAGTCGCATCGGAGTGTATTTTTGCGACCACAAACCGGCATAGTACCCAACTCCAATCTCGAAGGGAAAGTCGACAAGAACCGTCAGCGCCATGTTTTCCTTCCCAAAACCTTTATCCAAAAGTTTCAGATTCGTTACACCATCATTGGCTTGGAAACCGATTTTGGCAATGAGATGCACGATGATAATCGCCTGAACATTTCTGAGCTTGAGGATACCCCACATGATCCGGTAGACCTCCCAGACTCCGTCCTCGTTTTGGGATTTTTCTTCCCGTTTGATCAGGCCAAGCCCAATCGTCATGATGATATATGCCCAGCCCCAGAACTTGAGATAACCGCCCAGTGAAACAAGTCCATCATCTGAGGGTACAGAACGAAACCACTTATTGGCGAAATCGGGTGCGTTTAGGGCCAAGAACACAGTATACGATAGGAAGTGCCCAGCGGTAAGGCCCACTGTCTGCGCTGTCGAAGCGTAGGAGACATTGGCGGAACTCAGAAGCGTAAGGGCCCATCCATCCACAGCAATATCTTGCGTGGCGCACATGAGCACCAAGAAAAACCACCACAGCATGAAATGCCAGACAGTGATTCCATCCGGCTTACCCATCGTCTCCAGCATTCTCTCCACGTGCGAACCCAACCAGAGCATTCCAAAGCCGGAGAGAAATTGGATCGGCACAATCCAGGTCTTGCGCCGACCAAACGTAGGGCTCCATACCGCATCTACAAACGGACTCCAGAGGAGCTTGAGGGAGTACGGGTATGAGGCCAAACTGAATATACCAATTTCTCCATATGACAGATGATTCTTGAGAAGGAAGGGCACCGAGCCCATGGCAAGACCCATCGGGATTCCTTGCAAAAAGTATAACAGCACCAACAGCAAAAAGTTTCGCTGATCCTGTCTAGGGAGGTCGAAAAACCCATGGTTGGCAATGCCTGCGCTCGACTTTGGGGGTTCATCATCGAGGGAGAAGTTCTCTCGAGTTACGAAGTTGGCTGCAGTGGTGTCCACGTCGGACGGCGCGCCTTTGCGCCGGAGTTCCACGCCGTTGCTCATTTTCCCATTCGCATGCTCAGTTTCGGGAGGCGAAGATGATGCGCGCTTGAATTTGGAGGATTTCACGCGTCTTACTCTGGTCCCCATGAGGTAGGTATTGTATCGGTCGTTCGGTGTGAATCGCAGCTGCCGGAGATATAGGAGACAAGGGTGACTCCTCGTTCAAGAGTAGTTCAGGGGGGCTTCCGTCGGGGAGCGAGACGAATATTGGATATAAAATAACAGTGCGAACCTCACTGGGTACCTAAGTGTCGTCCGGGATGCGGGAGAGTTCGCGACAAGTGTTTCGGCAAATAGATGCGCTCGAGATCAAGTAGTGATGTGTATGTCATAAAAGGTCGCAGAAGATAAAAAAAAGAATTACCCGTGACGGTAAGAATAAACGGTCCAAAAAGAAGGAGATGGAGGGGAATATCAAGAGAGTGGCTGTCGGACTGATAGGATAATGGTGGCAAACGGTAGGTAGGGAAAAGTTTCGGTTTGTAAGGCGAAGCTACCGTGGCCTCAGTGAAACGAACAGGTGGGTTTTCCTCAATGGTCAACAACACCCGCCTGAAAATGAAAGGACGCTAGGAGAAGCCAGATCTGATGAGCCGTATGCACAAAGAGCCGAATCGGGATTCTGGACAAAGGCGGGTTCAGATTTGCCTGGCCTCTACCGCAGCAGCAACAACCTGGCACAGAACGATAGGATAGGCTATGAAAGGGATCAGGGATACGGAAGCGCAGAGCACAGATGGGAATTTTGCCTGCAAGAAATGAGCCCCACCTCCCACAATACGTTGGACAGAGCCAGCCCAGACTTAGCGGGTGGAACCTGCCAGGCACCAGACTGCATGACTCATGAGATTAGGTCCTGGCCGGGTAGCCAACGACTATCGTTGACGTTGAGAAGGTCTGGGTGCAGCATACTGGGCGTTCGATCCCATAGTTTTGGCCTCATCAGCGTCGGACATATGAGAATAAAGAGCACCCAGCAAAAATCCGTATATTTAACATCCATTTTCTGGTCAACATGGCCACCAACTGCCTCAGTTGGTACTTGTACAGGAACCTTCCAGATCGGGTAGTGAACCACATGCCGAATCCAGCCAAGATGCAATGGAACCCTGATGACTAATGCTCAAGATTGATATGGGGCACGCGTTTGGGTTAACCACAACGCGTCTCATTCTGGGGCAGGTCCAAAGTGATGGCATAGCACACCGTACTGATGATGGCTTCGGAAACCAACGAGGCAGAGGCCGATGTCCTTGGAGACGAAATCGCTGAATTGGAAGAGCAGAGTATGGCTTGTTAAGATCTTGGTCCCCCGCAATACCCAGAATATCAGCTAATCAAACACAAGTTGCTGCGACTAAGAAGCAACTCAAAATTCAGGCTTCAACCATCGTAGCCTCCATTCCAAGCCAGAGTCTGCTCAAAGAATCGTCGCGATCTCGTTCAAAAAACAACAAGAAACTCCTCAAAGGGCTCCAGGGGCAAGAAGCACACCAGCAACAATGCCTCCATCGAATTTGCAACCCGGTCACAGCCTTCAAAGTTCACGACCCAGATCCCAATGCCGTCGACGGGGGTCATGTTCTAGGGTTACGATTCGAGGTCATGTCTCGTAGTCAGTTCCTCAAGCCATACTACGTTATGCTAAACCGTCCTTATTCGAAGTCCTCGGCCCTGCGTGTCCACCGTCACACGCTACCCAGCGCGGTACCGCTTGCTGGGCTAGCTGCCCGTCATCTGCCTCCTCCAAAGCCCGAGGACGAAAACCCCCCTTCGCAAGACTTGGATCAGTTTGTTAGAACACTCAGACGCGAAATAATACGATACCATAACCGGCTCGGTATATCCGCCGATCTAAGGAGAGCACTGGGATTACATCAAATCACCGAGGGAGACACTGGGCCCTCCAGCATTGTCGAAGTTGGAATTGCCGATATCGAAGCGAAGCAGATCAAGCTCACATGGTCGGACGAACGTAACGGTCGTCTCGTTATGGATGATGATGGAAAAGTCACCAAATTTTCTGTCTTTGGTGTGGATGGGCGTGACTGGGAGACAACGAAAAGCCTTTTCGACAGGCCACAGCGCATTGAAGAGGTGATGGAAAAGCTAAAGCAATCATCTACAAGCTAAGGAAAAGGCTACAATGCGTCAAGGATAAATTCGTACCCCAAGAGCTTTAAAGTTCCCTCTATGGGAGGGCAACAATTCCATGGGTTGGACCACGCTCCACCCTGTAATATTATTCTCCAAACAACAAAAGCACTCCATCAAAGGTAAGTTGACACACTTTGTCGACAGATTGATTTTCAATATTTAACTAGACATAGGCAAGCTAAGGCCCCTAAATTGACGCCCATCAACCGATTGCAGGAATAACGTACATAAAATTCTTATGAACTATGCAATTGAGAAATTGGCTACAAGAAGAACACAAATGCATCTCATTCATGTCATTTCATAACACGTTCGACCACTCAAAGGGGGTTTTGTACCGTTGCCCTGGGGCTTACAAAACCAGCATGGCGGCAAATCCAACAAGAGCAAAGATACCGATGTGGTGCGTGCTCGAAATTCCGCCGGAGGTTTCCTGCGGAGCCTTGCTGATAGTTGGGAGTGCGGGCGCCGCTGTGGTGGCATTATAGCCATGCGGAGCACGCTGGAATGTGGTGGTCGGAGTATGAGGATGATGTATAACGGAGCTGTTGGCAGCTGTAGGGACCGGTGATCCCGCAAAGGTCGTAACTGTTGGCGAAGCACCATGCGATCCCTTCCACCCAAGGTGGACGGATGAAAGTGTGATACGAACAGGAATTGGGTGAACTTGTGTGGCAGAGGCAATATGGCTGGCCTCTGGAGTCTGGATCCCTATCGTGCTAAGGCGAGGGCAGTCGACAATGGTCTTGACGTGAGAGGTTGTAACTCTGGTGGTGCGCACTGGAGGGAGCCAATGCCATTCGCCATTACCGAAATCATCACAACCATCAGTCTTGACGTTGTGCGAGGAGTGCCATTTGTCAACACACCCGACGCCAGACTCGTGGCTAGGTCCCGGTGCGCTCACATCACCCGCAACGCCCCGAGGAATGTTTGCGCCTTGATTGAGAAGGGCGCTGGTGGAAGTGGCAAGAAGGCCAAGAACAAGCGTTGAGAACCTCATATCTGGAGGGCTACTAGGCAGCAAATTTCAATAAAAGAGTGACAAAAAGTTGGCTGCTGAAATGAGTGAAGGTAAAACGAGAGAAGATTGCGCTGACTTGAGGTTTCACCAATTGCCCATGGGCCATGGCTACCTCTTATATCATTAATTTGAACTATCTGGTGTACTATCACTGCCACCATTTCATCTTCCCCTTCCTCGTGTAAACACTCTCATCCTCGCATGGATTGTGGCACAGTAAGATGAGAACAAGACACTCCAAAGCCGGCAAAGGAGGGGTTCGTTTCGACCTGCGACCCTGTTTCCAAAGTTATCTACTGATGCTGTCGCTGGCTGGGACTGTTGCAGTTGTATGAAATGACCCACGAAGAGCTAATACTACGTATCCGGATGACTTCTCAATCAGTTGATGCAAGGAGAGTCCGGAGGGAGGCCATTCATGCTTGTCTCAGACCCCATGGCTGACTCCGCTCTCTTTCAAATGGATGTTGTCAGACTTTTCTTTTCTCTTCTTTTTTTCTTTTTCCTCAAACGTCCACACCAATCACTTCATAGCAATAACAAATGTTTCAAACGCGTCCATTTTTTTTATGAAGGTCTGTCGCAACTCTTATCCGAAGACGACGCACTTTAACAGCCATCGTTAGCCCTTGCGTCGGTCAGTGAGTTCACAAATTACGGAATTGTCTCTAAATCCGGCCAAGATGTCTTCCTTCCTAGATGGACACGAGGTAAAAACGAGTAGCTTCTGATTATGCTTGCTCTCGTTGCAATTGTGGTTGCCCAGAAGTGAGGAGCATCTGCAGTGCGCAAGTGCCAGTCTCCAAAAAAGATGCCCAGGATTTCTCGAGCCCTCCAAGGACGCGGTGATGTATGGGGCTGCTCGGAGATCCAACCTCAAAACCTGAGCAGCAGGGAGCGACAAACAACGATGATCTGGTTCCGTAGTGTGAAGCCGCGTTGCCACTGCGTCTCCCAGCCCTTTTTCGAGGTGGAGCAGCTTTCTCTTGCAAGCTCGCTCCCGAAGCTGCACATGGGACTGCCCTTCCCAGCCCTCGTGGCAGTTCCCTGGGGAAGGTTGGGGCCTAATCCAGGCAGGTTGTATTTTCCAGCCGCTGTGGTCCAGTTGCTTTCACCAGTCCAAAAGATCTCTAGCTGGTTCATCTCCATGGGCGGGAAGCTCTTCATGAGTTTGCTGCGCTGGCTCCGGGTTGAGATAGTCCAAAAGAGATTTATCGACTCCCCAGATACGGACTTGTTCGTCCACGATACCGATCCATTTGCGAATGACCGGATGAGCCTGCGCTACCTGGTGGGCGGTAGAGTCCGAGGGAGAAATCGTGTAGTTGCGCTCCCCATTGGGCTTCCAATGATGGGAGCTGAAAATCTTCTCAACGCTCAACTCAGTCCTGGCTTCATTTAACAGTGTCTCTATCTCTGCTGTGGGATTGTCTGCATTGGCCTTTGCCGCTTCGGCAATTCCGTCTAGGAGGCCAAGCAGCTGCCCGGCCTGCAGTCCCAGGGCGGCGCCCACGGAATAACCCTCGTCAAAACCTTGCTGAAGGGTGGCTTCTTTGCCGAGCGCTATCCCTTCACGGTACCCTGCCGTGGTGTGCTCCGTCTCCAACCTCCTCATGTCCGAAGGGTGGTAATCTTCAGCAGGTTGGAGATCATCCCCGCCAAAGATGTCATCAAGGGTGTCGTTCACATTGGAGGTTGCGATGAAGGCGCCACCTCCGCCAGAAACGTAGGCATCATCGCCCAGGTTCTCAATGGGTTGGAAATGCATACTGACAATAATTCTTCTTCCTTGGGAGATCTTTGCTTTGCCAGAGCAAGAGAATAAAATTTTGATGCTTTGGGAGCCCTCAAGGTGGGGAAGTCGCAAGTTTAGGGTAGCCTCTTACCTAAGCTGGTGGCACTATAAATCTACTCGCTGATGAGGCTGGTGTGAATTGGACATCAGCCGGCTGTCCGTGCAAGGCTTTGATAGAATGGTAGAAAGTCTCAAGGTTACATGGAGTACATACTATATCTAACTATCCGCTATGCGTTGCGTTTATAACTCATTAATTGAAGCAATGCTGGGCAGATGGGTATGAACATGTCAAGTGAGAGGGTGTATACACTTAAAAAATCCAGAAACGATACTGACATCTAATCGATTCTATGATTGATCATGCAGTACTTCGCATGTTGGAATCCTTGGGGTCATAACACCAATAGTCTGCTAGCTCACTACCCACCTCAATGACTCCTTGCAAACCCAGCTGCGCTCGACACGAGTACCCATGCTGGCGGTACTCATCTTGAGCGATTCAGGTTTTCTGTAACAGAGTACCGACACAGCATGAGCGGTGAGTATCGTCCGTGTTTGATGTGAAAAGGACGTGCGCCTTGTTCTAAATTCTTAGCTTCAGGGATTGGCGAGGGAGATTAGCGAATAGCAGGAGGTTCCCACAGGGGAAGTGCCTGTCAAGCCATGCGTACGGCGCCCATGTAAATTTATTTGCATATCACGGGGACAGCTGGGAAGGTCAGTGGGAGCCGAATTCGGTCAGCCTGGGGCCAAATTCTGGCCTTCCGAGCGTCCACACGGGGCGCAGGAGGCTGATATAGGAGGATACAATGGCAAAGTAGCGTCCAATTTGCCGTGGACCAAGCAGCAGGGCAAGGGGAGATGCCGTTTCAATGGACGGCTTCAACTCAAACCCACTGTTCCAACCTGAGATGGGAACGGGCCGCCCTCCCCGGTCCACGGAACCGAACTGACGGACCAAAGGCCTAGTTACGGCCCCACCGCGTGCCAGTCCAGACCAAGGACAAGGAGCGAAGTAAGGTGAGGTCGTACTTAGATGGTGCTACATACCCGTCCCAGTGGGAGACGGCTGTCACGCAGACACAAGGCCGGACTCGCAGCGAATACGGGCATGCAAGAAGCCGGCACGAATACGCGTGGGCGGCGGTTAATGCTGCGCTATGTTTCGGAAGGAAGCAGCAATCAAATGGCCATGATGTGATGCGATAGGGTCGGTTGGCGATCAATTTCAAAAGTCGCCATTGACGTATGGATGTGCAACGGAGCAATTAGTCAGTGGCCACACCGCGAGGATGGGCAAGGGGAGTACGTACAGGCGTCATCATCAATTCCGCGCTTGCGAGGGAATCTCATTGTTGGTTTTGAGAAAGGAGAGGAAGCCTTGTCCAGCTTCTAGTCAGGGGGACTTGCTGGTAATTCGGTGTGCGTCTGCCTTCCCCGGCACCAATCATGTCATTGGATTGAAATTGGTGCTCTATCCGGAGCCTTCCCCGACATAATAGTGCTCCCAATTCCTTCTCGGCCAGCCCATGGATCCCCTGGCCAGAATTCGTCGCGTTGGTACGCCTTCACCTTAGGCGGGAGGCTAATGGTTTTTTTTTCCTTTCTTTTTCTTCTGGTCCGTCTGCCCCAGCCAATGCGGGCTCCACGGACATGGAACTGGGTCGATTGGGCCCTATGGTCGCGTTTCCAGGCTACCCCTACGATCTACCTATAGCATCTTGGGAAATACCCCGGTGGAAGGGTCCGAAGGAGACGCTGTTTCGGGACAGGCAACGAGGTGAAGGAAGGTAAATTACGGTGAATCCAGGGGTTCCTTTCTGTCACCACCTCCCTGATGGGTACCTGCGCTGCTGCGCTGCACACGTGTTGACACAATGCTAGGCTCTGTGCGTGCGTTTTGACGTCTCTCCCACGAGACCTGGCGGCAATGTACATGCATAGTCTCGTCATGGGCCTTGCTTGTTTATTTCTGCGGCAGCGGACAAGCCGGAGACAAGCGAACAGTCGCCGACGGCACACGATGCACCCGTCTCTGGGGGTGGATATCCAGACCAAGGTACTTCTCTCGCCATGTACATTCGGAGGTGTGTACCTGGAGGAAGAGTAGGTGTGCTATTTTTGTCTCCAAGACAGCTCATCATTTTGGTGATGTCCGTATCGGCTGGTTTCCTCACCGACACCTCTAGTCAAACGGCCTGTTGTCTTGCTGACGACGAGTCATCTAGTTGTTGATGCTCCACCTGCCCTGTAGCAGGCTTCACCGTCAGAAACTAGGCCTGCCCGCTGCCGAAACATTGAGCCCAACCGTGATCATTTCGTCCATTCTTTTTTCACTTTCTTCTAGAATCTCGCCGTCTTCGTGCTACCCTTGCCCCTCTACCGTGGTCTAGTGTGACGCCCCGATCGCTTAGTTCCTCCAGTGGTATCACGCTCGCTCTCTTGGCCAACCAGCCATTCAGTCCTGAAGTCTTGGGCCGGGAAATTTGGTACTCAGTGTATTTTCCCCAATTCGATCCAAACGTGTCAGATGCGTCTCTGTAGTACATATGGAACACTAAGAAGCACAGCATCAAGCCCTACCGCAAGGTTATCTGTTTTTTTCTTTTTCTCCCTTTTCACTTTTTCCTTTTTTCTTTCTCACCCAACAATGTCAGCTGAAACCCACACCGCAGCCAACAGTCCTTTCTAACCGAGACTCACTTTTGAATGTGAAAAACATGCCCGGACGCTGGCATGGGAGTTACTTGTCCGTCCGAATAGCTAATTACTGGCAATATCCCAACCAGTTACACCCCTGTCGATCTTAAAGGTGAGGTATGGCCACAGGGATTCCTTAGTTAGTCAAAGCCAGGGGGTATGAGCGCTGACCGCAAAGACCGGATCAGCCACTTTGACACGCGCACAAAGCCAGGGCAGCAAGAAGAAGAAAAAAAAATGGTACCGCATTCTTTTTCTTCTTCTCCCTGGAAGATTTAAAGTCACCGGAGCTCGCACTCAGATTTAAAGTTCACATCTATCACACCTCTATCAGACCTGTATGATCCATCCATCCTTCCCACTTCGATCAACCACATACCCTCTCGACACCCACATCTGCCCTTGCTTCAGATTAGGAACTCGTTACTCTGCCAAGTACACGCACACACACCAATATCAACATCGAGCAACACTTATACTTCCTTTACCTACAAGCTACCACACTTCCACAACATGCCTCGAGGACCTTATGACACCACTGGCATCATCAAGCCCAACTCGCCCAAGCCCCCACCTAAATAGAGGCACTCTTCTCTTGCTTCCCTCTCCCACATTGAGAGCAATGCATTTAAGATGAAGATGGCGGCAACATTCAACCTGGTAGGAAGCTCCGTATCATATAACCTGGCCCAAAACAGTGCTAACGAACTTCGATGAACAGTTCGCCGCTTGATTACATGAGCAAACCGCAACAACACTCAACCTTTTCTCTCTCTCATTTCCTTCGGTATTCGACGCAATGATCGAACCATGGGTGGTTTTTCTTGGGTGTTTTGGGAGTTACGGCATATATTGTGCCCCGGTATGGAAAGGGAACCAAATTAGACTGGGAAGGGACTCAGGAGTATATCCATTATGACACGCCACGAGAGAACACTAGAGAAGCTTCATTCACATGAACACACCTTACATACTTAATACACAAATCGTCATTGCTTTCTGGACATTTTGAGAAATTTGCGAATACATGTGACCTGGTGGACGAGGCGAGGCTCATTTGACTTAGACAATCGTAGGATAAAAGTGTGGGCTCGACGCTTTGGGCAGGGAATTCACGCCCAGCTGGGATGTCTCACATTTTAGAGGGAGATCTTTTGATAGTCACTTCAGTAGGTCCGGATCTTTGACGCACACGACCTGTGGCTATTGTCGATCCAGTGTGGTAGCGATCAGGCCATTGAATCACTGGCCCCCACCTACAAGCCAGGTTCAAGTGTTGGTGCCACCATGAGAAGTGCTCATGTGATGTGTACTCAGCAAGCCCTGACATCCTCATCCTGGCTGCGCGGACCAGTCCCGGCGGCGTATGCTTCATCTCGGTTGATGATGATTGAAGGACCGGACGAGTGCGACGTCAGACGGGAGCACCAAGGATCGGTCGAGAAGCAGCCCTGGAGGGGGGGTGCCTGCGCGTGGTGATGAGGCCTGGCTTGAGCCTCATCGGCTGGCAGGTGGCGATATACATGTACGATGCTTAATTTTTTGGCCATGCCCTACCTGCTACCCGGTCCCCAAGTTCTCCGAGGTGGGGGCGGGGCATCTTGATAAGAGTGCATGATGAGGACCGCATGTATGTAGTGGTTTGGTTGGAATAGGGGACTGATGGGGGAGAGCTGGAGGAAATTCCGCCCCTCCATTCCATGCACGTTTTGCGCCCTGTTTTAGGCCCAAAGCAGTTGAGGCTCGCCTGGTCCCGCGGGCCTCCAATCCAACTCCATCCACTACAACAGAGCAGGGTCCCCAGTTTCTGTCTATGGGAAGAGCGATGTCACTTGCACTATGGTCCTATATTCTGTCTCCGAAGGCAGTTGTATCAAAGAGGTTTCACTAACTTCTTACTGCCCTGGCTTGCCTGGGTATCCATAAACACGAAGAGCAATCTCAGCACCTTGGTTCGGCTTGCTTTGCTAAGCGGGTTTCTCAACTATGGTCTTACCCCCCTTTTATCCCGGAATCTCTTCATCGTTGACGAAAGACTTTTTTTCTCTCTCTTCCAGCCACCGCCATGACATTGTCTCTAGGCATCTGGACATCCAAGCGACTGACATGAAACATGGCACATCTAGACACTCCAGCGTTGAATTTTAACAAAATATCTAAACAATTAATCTATTAATAAATGCAGTATCAAGCTAAATAACTTGGAATAATTTGTTATTCTCTTATTATTGTGCTTAATAAAGAATGAGGTCCCTGCCTTGCGTGAAAAGAGCTTTGTGTTTCATTTCATCGACTTGGCATCCAACACTCCTCGCGCATGCATGTTTCGCATCCATCGGCCTGTCTGAGATGGTGATGGACCTCGGCGCAAACGACTCATCTCAATCTTAGGACATCTGAGATGAATGATGCAAACAGTCTTGGCTCACCCCACAGCGAGGTCAAGGCTTGATCCCAGCAGGCGAGGTTTCCCAGCCTTTTCCACAAAAGGGGCGGGAGCACCACCGACTGCCCAACTTAGTAACTCGCCAGGGATGCAGCAAGGGGGCTTTCCACCTGGCTGGCATGAACCGGTTCGCCACTTAATTCACCTCGCCATGAACAGGCGCCACGATGCAGATCCTCGTTACACCACCTCCCATGTGGCGCTCTCACCATCGCTTCAGAACCTTCCAGGATCGAGCCTCTGTGTCCCACACCTTGTCCGGCCAAATCCGAACGCTCCTCTCCTCGTACCAATCACGGAGGCTGGTGTTTCCGCCAATAGATCTGGGGTTTCTTTTCTTGCCTCTCACATAGGTAGGCACATACATGGCCACGTAGGTAACCAGAGCCACGAGGAGTTGGGCTGCACAATCTTGGCCAGCCAACCAGTGCACTGCACGACAGTAATGCAAACATGAGGTGATAGGGTTCGGCATTAGGGCAATGGATTTGTTTATTATCAATCAAGGGGACACAGTCAACTTCAAAATACTACATCCCATGTATGAGTGGAGGTGGCATATTTTGCCCTAGAGTCAAGTGGTTTGATGCGGTGTGCGCAAGCAAGTTCCCTCCAGCCCCTTGCATAGGAACTACTACCTAGCAGAGCTGAAGGGCCTCTCTTTATTTACAAAACGCCAGCATTCTGAGGACAAAACATTTGCCGGCCCCCATGTTGATCGTGTCGTACTCGTACCAGGCATTCTCCGTCGTTCGCAGATTCAAGGCATGAGCACTGCAGGAGCCACATCATCCGCCATGCAGCACGAAATGTCTCTCACTTCATGAGAACTGTCACCGCCAGAACAAGCGTGGATTGGCTGCCGCTTCCGTAGAGATAAACATGTAAGGTGCCCAAATACCCATTTGGCGCCTCGGCACCATGCAGAACCCATCCCTCCGCAGCACGCACCATTGGCCCAACCTTCCGTCAACATGCCATGCCACCCCAATATTGGCAAGTCGGGACCCTGATGCGGCCTTTCGTGCAAGCATATCAGTGCACTAACAGGATTCCAACCACGCAGTTGGCCATGTGTTGGGCGCCCAACAGACGTGTCAACGACTCACCTTCCGTGGCCACGACCTCACCGCCATGGCTGGGGTCTCCACTTGCAACCGGCCCAGATGCAGCCGCCCATGGCACATCAGACGGTGTGTAAGCCGGGACCTCGCTCTCGAGAAGAGTACAAATTGGGCCGTGTCTCGTCACCGAGGCTGCCCGCTCCTCTTGATGTTTGACCGCAGGCGAAGGGCAGCTGCCTCTGTGGCAGCCTCCTCTATCAAAAACAAATCTGGTGCTACGGTACCGCCAAGGCGGAGTGGGATATGATGGCTTCACCGGAGTGGGTGCAGGCCATCTGCCTCTTTCTGGGCGTCTGGGTCGTCGGCATCGCGGTTGCGGCGACCCGGAGCTCTGGGGCACCTCCCACCTCAAGCATCTTGAGGTCAAAGGCAGCAAGAATATTGCAAGAATCGAGGCAGGAGAGACATCTTGACCTGGGAGGGCACAATCTGCAACATCAGGCACGTAGAGCAGGGTTCGGCTTTTGCTCTGGCCTGAGTGTAGATGGTGTCCTCCCTGGGGAGTCAGGATACAGATCGAAGAAACAGGTAAGCTTGCTCTGGATGCCGCTTATCATGATGTGGGGTGTCTAACTTGTATAGATTGATGATGCTTCTTGTAAGCTGGTGAGAGATGGACAATATTCTCACGGCGGCAAACATCAAGGTTAGTTTACCATCATGAAAGACTTGATGAAGGTAAATCGCTAATTCAGTTCACAGGAAACTGCGACTTTTCGACTACGCATACCTCCAGAACAACGATGACGGGATTCCAGTTGGAATCCCGCATCAAGCATGTCTGTGTATCTTCGTTCCTCCCTCGCATACCAAACCCCAAATCTCCTTGCTGCATATATGGTAAGACTTTGATGATACAACCCTCTAGCGTCGTTCTCCAAGAGTATTCGCTCACTTCTTCAGGCTGCACCAGAACCTCAAACACGAGGACGACTGCTCCATGTGGAATGTTGAAGGGTAGAAAGTTGAGGGTAATGGGGAAGGAGGAACGACTCAATCATAGCCCATGGCCGTACTGACACGAGGCTTTTCTCCACCATGGAGAATGGGTTGCTCAGTTCTTCACAGGTTCGTGCTCATGTTCTGCTGCGTCGTGCTACCTATACTAACAGTTTATCGAACAGAAACTGAGCTCCTCGCTGCCGGTCAGCCATGACAACGAATTGAGAACACGAGATATGAAGATATAATGAGCCACGTATTTGGAAAAGAAGCATACTTCTTTTTCGAACGACTCATGGATGGTTAAGCGATCCGACGTTGATATACGATGTTCGGATGGAATGTTGTTTCCTTGATGTGCCTGCCTTTTGGAACGTTTACGTTTTCATGAATAATGGCCATCCCCCACAGCGCCCGCGGGCGCGATCAAACTGTTTCATTTGTCACCTTTAAAATGAAGAAAAGCACAAAAAAACTTGATAATCAATAAAAACCCGCTACGTACAATGCTCTCTCTCCAAACCCCTCGAACCTTGCAGGTTGCAGGGTATATTCGTGTTGCGTGTTGATGGGTAAAAGAAAGCCGCTGACTGGCTGGTGGAGCTCGGATTGTGCCTGTCCGACTGCTCGAACAAGCCACTGCACAGCCTTGATGCTCTGCAAGCTGTCTTCAACCTCCCCTGGGTGCTGCTTTGGCCCAACCCGCTGTTCAATTTATTTTCTGCTCTCTTCTTTTAATCTACGTTAACCCTCAGTTTAAAGCGATACATTGTCACTAGGTCTTTGTGGATTTTGTTTGGATGCCGGCCTGACTGATCCCTTACCATCATCGAATATGGCGGCTGCAGTTGACCCAGCAAGGCGGACGCAAGTCCTTCGCGTCATCTTTATCTCTCTGCTTTTGGACTTGGTACGCTCGCTCACTCCCCTCTACCCAAACCTTGAAATAACGAAAGATCCTAACATTCAATAGATCTCATTCACCTTTATCCTCCCCCTGTTCCCGAAGCTCCTGGAATTCTACCGCGACCGCGAAGCCCCGGCTACCCACGACGGCGAATCGGCCACCCTTCTACAATGGATACTCGCCGGGCTACATCGATACAAGGCTGCATTTTCCCGGCCGATAGAATCCCGCTATGATATTGTTCTCCTGGGGGGAGCTATGGGTTCCTTATTCTCGTAAGGCTGCCCTGCCATGCTACTGGAATCACCTGACTGACGGCTGTGAAACCTCACAGACTTCTCCAAGCCATTGCGTCTCCGATCATAGGCTCATTCTCCGATCGATACGGCCGCCGGCGCGCCCTTCTATTCTCCATGTGCGGAAATGTCCTCTCCGTCCTTCTGTGGGTGGCTGCCGTCGATTTCCGAACCTTCATTGCCAGCCGTGTGATTGGTGGCCTGTCGGAGGGCAACATACAGCTGGCCACCGCCATGGCGACGGACATCTCGGACGAGACCACTCGAGGTCGTACAATGGCTATTATTGGTGCTTGCTTCTCCATAGCATTTACATTCGGGCCTGCGTTGGGAGCTTGGCTTAGCAGCATCTCTACATTTGCCGCCAATCCCTTTGCGACAGCTGCAGGATTCAGCTTGGCCCTGATTGTGCTCGAGACGGTCTATCTCTACTTCAAGCTTCCAGAGACGCTCCCTGCTCTGACAGGATCGGACGCCAAGGCTGGCCGGGACAAGAAGAAGGCCGAGCCTCGCTCGGTGGAGCGAACAAACTCCCATTTCTTGCTCAATGCGATCCACTTCGTGTTTCTGCTCTTCTTCTCGGGAATGGAAAGCTCTCTTTCGTTCATGACGTACGAGCTCTTCGAATTTTCTTCAATGAAGAACGGAAGACTCCTCGGGTATGTCGGCCTGGTGTCGGCTGTCCTGCAGGGAGGCGTGACTCGTCGACTTCCAGCCTTGACCTCGGTCCGCGCAGGCGTGATTTCGTGTCTTGCCGCCTTTGTACTTCTCGGCAGAATCTCCACGGTTGGGGGCCTCTATCTCGCTGCCACTTGCTTGGCAGTTACGTCCGCCACGGTGGTGACGGGACTCAATACCCTGAGCAGTTTCGAGGCCAGCGAGGACGAACGGGGCGGGAAGCTGGGCATCTTGCGAAGCTGGGGGCAGCTGGGCCGCGGGCTGGGACCTATACTGTTCACCAGCGTGTATTGGTGGGCTGGGAGGGAGTTTGCCTACACGCTCGGAGCTACTGGCATGGCTGTGGTGAGCGCCGTGGTTCTTCTTGGGTTGAGGACACCCAGAACCGCTGCGTCAGCCAAGCCTGCTGGCAAAGGCCATTGAAGAATGTAGCAATATCACACTTATAGAGCGATGTATATACTGGTCGCGTGGATCGCGGGTAGGAAATGGATTTGTATTTATTGGGAGCTGACCCCAGCTACATGTAGAATTGCGAGTATCTTGGACTTGGGCGCAGATAATCATAGGAACAATTGCATTGTATTATCAGTGATCTTACCATCGTTGAGTTCAGACTGTGATCTTGAGCTCATGCTTAAAAGGTGATGTGGGATGCAGGTTCGCTATCATCCTCTAATGGCTTTGGTTCCTCAGCCGTACCTACGAATGGAATCGGAGAAGAATGGTGAACGGGGTTATTCATGCGACTCGATAGGAATCACAAGGCAATCGTAAAACGCAGGTAGCCAGCAATTAGGCAGGTGAGGATCTCGGAGGAAAAAAAAAAGATGTAAAAAAAACGCCCGCACTCGGATTTGCACCGAGATCCTTGGCTTTCTCCTACGATTTAGGAGTCCAACGAGTTGCTATTACTCTATGCGGGCTTAACCACTGCACCAAAAGGCCCTTTTTTGTTTTGTTTGGAAAGTGCAATGAAAAATGGTATAAGTGTTACTGTCGGGGCTGTTGGCAGCTGACGGGCGGCAGGCGGCAGGAGGTGGCGGTTTCGTCGGTTTCGTCGCACAGGTTTGTCGGATCGGAGGCCCTCAACGCATGTGCCTATGGAAAGCAGCGGGGGGGAAAGATCGGATGGCAAACTGGGCGTTTGTGGTCGGCAATGAACAATCGAATTGAAGACAAGGGAAGAAGAAAGGATGGGAAAAGAAAAAATTTGGTTGATGGGCTTGGTCAGGACGAGTTTTGGAACTCCCCTGCCCGGCACCACCGAGGGAGCACCTATTTAGCTCTAGCTACCTTACGCGACAAGCTCTATTAGCCGCTAGTACTAGGAAGCTACCACCTACCTAGGTGATGCGGATCCCGAGCACCGAAGAAGTGCTTGATAATTGCGTACGTATTTCTGGAGGGAATCAGTTTCAGCCAGCAGGATTCTGTCTGAAATCGACCCCGCTGTTCATGCCTATTGGGTTTTCTCCTGGGTCAGAGTGTTATGGTTGTCACTGTATCTGTGCCGGTATATCTAAGTAGGCAAACACCGTGATGAACTCGAATACGAGCCTTAACGTCCTCAGCTCGCCAACCCGCAGGCTACTGATCGGACGATTTGCACGTAACCTTGCATCTCGAGATATCTAGTCATAATAGCCAGTATGATAACCCTCCAGACTGGGCCTCGATGCTTTGCTAGTTGCGCTGCCCGCTGGCAACGACCCCTCCTCGCGCTGGATGGAGATGAGCATCTGGGCGCTCTGGACACTTCTCAGCAGCAGCCCCACTGCCACTTGGGTCACGGAGTCCTCAGAAAGCTTATTGCTACCTACAAAGGTGCATCCAAGATGAGGGTGACACCCACCGTCGAGGCGGTGGGTTCTGGGGGATGGGCACACATGCTTCAAGAAGCGCACCCACAATGTGCAAGTTAGCGCATATGTTCGCCGGATGGCTCACGCCCCTCGCAGCGTCTAGACCAGGCTGCAGGATTGGGAGAGGATGGGAGACTTGGCTGCTTGGCTGCCATGCAACTGGCGGCAGCGGGATCCGCTTGCAACTTTCCATTGCAAGCCGCGATGTCCACTGAAAACCAAACCATTCTGAGGAATTACCTCCAAGCCGTGGCGACGGGGCTTGGCGGTGGTGGGGCATGACGTTCCTGCAAAATGTGACATGGGAGTGTTGGAGGGGTAATAATAATATCTGCTGCGCCGTATCTGAGTAACGCTGCGAGCCAGCAGGGAGGGGGAGGGGGAGGGGTAGCTCGCTGGGTTTGTTTCGAATTCCGGAGGCATTGAGTTCCCTCAGTGGCTGCGACTAGCTGAATCAAAACCGTGAGCTCAGAGACAGCTCTCTAATTTCTTGGGAAATCGACGGCCAGCGGTTGGACTCGTCTCGATGGGCGTGACTCACGCCGTCTTAGACCAACATCAGAATGTTGGGCTGAGACGTGTAAGCGTGTTGGGCAGGAGGGGCTCGGGCTGCAGGACTGCCGCCGTCTTGGACGGGGTTGAAGTTTTTTTTTTCTCGCAGCGACAGGGTATGGGTGCTGAAGTCCCCACTCGTATCTACTAACAAAGTCCAAGTACCGGCTGGCTAGTGGGAAAGTGGCGTGGAATACGTTTTGATAATGAAGTTTTTTCCCCCTCTATCGACGGGGATCCAGTAAAATGGGTGTGGTTACATTATTCCCTTGCCTTTTGGCCATGCAACGGGGAACGAGTGCTGCGGCCAAAGATGACCGCTCTATCAGGCAACGTGCTGCGTTTTGAGTAAAATGAGTAGCGCATAGGTAGGTAGCCGGGAGGTACTTCCTGGTGATATTGGGCGGCTAGCTTGCTTGTGGCTGCAACTGCAGGTCATTTTTGGCACCTGCGTCTGGAGGAGGCGGCACAATGATAGTGACGTTTGTCGCATAATAACACACCTAGATTGCCACGGAAACCAGGTGAGCCCCGAGCATCAAGAAGGCCCCCGAGCCAGGCATCTTGGATTTTCTTTATAGAAAAGCCGGGCATTAGTTGATAGCGGTCAGATACTACCTGGAGTCAGTTGCCCTGGTGAAATAAGATCCCTCGTAGCGCCTGAGCAGGAGCGATTGCTTTGCGTCTCACTGCTCCTGCTGTGAGATGTGAGATGGCAGAAGGCCCACAATTGGCCCAATCATATCACACCACAGTCACGCCGAGTGACTGAAAAAAAACTTGATGGTGTTAGGGCTTCCCTTCTGTTTGTGCGGCGGCAACGCGAGGGCTGCCTGAGATCGTTGCCCCGCGCAAGCAGCAGCAACATTCTGGCCCCACCCTTCTTCGCCTCCTCTCCCCCACCAGACCTTTTAAAACTCCTCCTCCCACCACCCTCTTTCGAAATTTTTCTCTTCTGCTCTTTGTCCTCGCATACCCGGTTCAAGCATCCGATCTGCGAAATTGTATGCCTCCCTCAGCTTGATGTCTCTACACTAGGAGCTTCATCATTCCTTCTTCACACAAGGCACCGACTAATTTATTTCGTGCTCGCAGATCTAGAAGTCAAGACTTCCACAAGAACCAACGTACAAAACTTCACACACAACCGCCAAAATGGGCAAGGACGACAAGACTCATATCAACGTCGTCGTTATCGTAAGTGCTCACTGCCTTCTCACTCGAAGAAAAGATTACAAGATGCTAACCGTTGTTTGTAGGGGTATGTTTTTTGAACGGATTGCATCTCACAATCGCCGGGCACCAAGCTAACCGATCGAAATAGCCACGTCGATTCCGGCAAGTCTACCACCGTGAGTCCACCCTCTTCCGCGATGACAATATCAGCTTCCACCGTGGCTGCGTATCATGTGCGATCATTCCATACATTTGAACCAGAAGCTAACAACACGATAGACTGGTCACTTGATCTACCAGTGCGGTGGTATTGACAAGCGTACCATTGAGAAGTTCGAGAAGGTAAGCACAGCCACTCTTTTGATACCCATATCGTGCGGCATCTCGCATCTCATACCTGGCATTCTTTGCCCCTCTTACCCCTCCTCAAAAAGTTCAATTTTTTTTGTGGCCCATTTTAGTGGGGCCACGACACCGCCAGAGTTCTCGATAGCATTTCAAGGAAGGCACACGCTGACAGTCCCCAAATAGGAAGCCGCCGAACTCGGTAAGGGTTCCTTCAAGTACGCATGGGTCCTTGACAAGCTCAAGGCCGAGCGTGAGCGTGGTATCACCATTGATATCGCTCTCTGGAAGTTCGAGACTCCCAGGTACCAGGTCACCGTCATTGGTACGTTATCGCACCTCCGCTCTGTGTGTTGCCAAGGCATGTTGACTAACTGATATAACACAGACGCTCCCGGTCACCGTGATTTCATCAAGAACATGATCACTGGTACTTCCCAGGCTGACTGCGCTATTCTCATTATCGCTGCCGGTACTGGTGAGTTCGAGGCTGGTATCTCCAAGGATGGCCAGACCCGTGAGCACGCTCTTCTCGCCTACACCCTCGGTGTTAAGCAGCTCATTGTTGCCATCAACAAGATGGACACCACCAACTGGTCTGAGGCTCGTTTCCAGGAAATCATCAAGGAGACCTCCTCTTTCATCAAGAAGGTCGGCTACAACCCCAAGACCGTTGCCTTCGTCCCCATCTCCGGTTTCCACGGTGACAACATGTTGGCCCCCTCCACCAACGCCCCCTGGTACAAGGGTTGGGAGAAGGAGACCAAGGCTGGCAAGTCCTCCGGCAAGACCCTCCTCGAGGCCATTGACTCCATTGAGCCCCCCAAGCGTCCTCTTGACAAGCCCCTCCGTCTTCCCCTCCAGGATGTCTACAAGATCGGTGGTATTGGCACAGTACCCGTCGGCCGTATCGAGACTGGTGTCCTCAAGCCCGGTATGGTCGTTACCTTCGCTCCTTCCAACGTCACCACTGAAGTCAAGTCCGTTGAGATGCACCACGAGCAGCTCACCGAGGGTGTCCCCGGTGACAACGTTGGTTTCAACGTGAAGAACGTTTCCGTCAAGGATATCCGCCGTGGTAACGTCGCTTCCGACTCCAAGAACGACCCTGCCCAGGGTGCCGCTTCTTTCAACGCCCAGGTCATTGTCCTCAACCACCCTGGACAGGTCGGTGCTGGTTACGCTCCCGTCCTTGATTGCCACACCGCCCACATTGCTTGCAAGTTCTCCGAGCTCCTCGAGAAGATCGATCGCCGAACTGGTAAGGCTACTGAGGCCAACCCCAAGTTCATCAAGTCTGGTGACTCCGCCATCGTCAAGATGGTTCCCTCCAAGCCCATGTGCGTTGAGGCTTTCACCGACTACCCTCCTCTGGGCCGTTTCGCCGTCCGTGACATGCGTCAGACCGTCGCCGTCGGTGTCATCAAGTCCGTTGAGAAGGCCGCTGCTGGTTCCGGTAAGGTTACCAAGTCCGCTGCCAAGGCTGCCAAGAAATAAGCGAATGAGTTGGCATGACATCTCGATCTTGATGGCTTCAATGACTTCTGGTGTCGGGATGGTTTTGTACTCGCTTCTACGACGATATGATTTTCCCCTGAAATGCATGACCACTCCGACTTTCTGTCTTCGGAGCACATAATGAGAGACTGGGGTATAGGAATTTCTGCGTCATAGGTTCTCTTGAAATGTGCTGGTAAAAAGAATAGAAGTGACTTCTGCTGTCAATGAAAAAAAGAAAAAGTTTCTAAAATTAATTGTCCTTGCTTACTCTCCATGTGAATCTGCTCCCCCTCTGCCCATATCATTGAAGCATCTTGCGAGAGTTTTGAGCAAGTGCACATATTCACGTGAAGTTCGACCTGATCCTCGGAATATATCTCATCAAAATGCGCTGTTGATTCGTACACAACCCTTGTGATAACCACATAAGTCAGTATGTGCGTCTATGGTGTTATACATGTAATTTTAACATTATAATACAGTGGAGTGAGCCATTCTTGGTCCTATGACCCCATCTTGGTGTAGAAACTCAATTTCTTTCACCCTCCTTCATAGAGGTATCCCGGCCATACACACCTTCATGACTCTTCTGTTTTCCTTACAGCCTCTTCGGCCATTGTGGCGAGCTGCTCTGCTGTTCGTAATCCATTCTCAGCCTCATCAAGCGTGGAACTAGGTATAAGATCATCAGAAGTAATGCTGTCACTCTCTAGCGGAACTGTCTCTTGGCCTAGTTTCCTCGCCCCCGGGACTTTTTTGTTCTTCTAGAGACTCTTCGATGAATGTCGCGAGCTGCTCGGTTGGTCGCAGAACATCCTCGGCCTCGTCAATCGTGGCACTAGATGCAAGATCATCATCAGAGGGGATGGTGCTGCCCTCTGACGGAGCTACCCCTTGGGCCAAAGCTTCCACACCTTCACGGCTTTTTTGTTTTTCTAGAGCCTCTTCGATGGTTGTGGTAAGCTGTTCTGTTGTTCGTAGCACATCCTCGGCCTCATCAATCGCGGATATAGATGCGGGATGAGCATTAGAGGTAATGTTGCCACCCTCTAACGGAGTTGATTCTTGGGCTAGAGATTCTTCGATCAAGGTTACAAGCCTTTCGCCTGCCTGAATCGCATCTTCACCTTGATCCGTATACCGTGTCGATTGCAATCCCTCCTCGCCGCTCAAAGCTTGTCGAGCGATAAGAGACAGCTCCTCCCCACTCTCGAGCGTTCTATCGCACTGCTCATATATGGAGGTGGATTCCACAGAGTGGACATGACTCTCATCCGCAGCATGAGACCAGGTGTCGTCTAGATGGAAATCGGGAGTGTCGACCTTCAAGCCCTCTAGATCGTTATAATTCTGATTTTGCTCGTTGCCGAGCTCATGCTCTTCGGGAAGTTTGCGAATCGCTTTGTAGCCCTCGGCCCAAGAGAAGAACCTGCCTGTCACAATCCCACCCACGGTGTGAAGGAACCGCGACCGATGGACTGCATTCGAGGGCCCGTTGGGGTCTTGAACGGCTTGAAGAGAAAGCTCTTGGCGAGTGCCTCCATGTTGACCCGCCTCGATACTGTTGTACCTGAGGATGTAGTCGTGCCACTCGAGGTCCATAGTCTGATGGATTTCGAGTCCTGCAAAAGTATATGCCACCTCAGAGGGAGTCTGCGTATCTTTTGATGGCTCAGGTAGCAATTGTGCGGGTAAGGATATTTGTGTATGACTTGGGGTACGAAGCCGACCTTCTACGAGGTTGAACTCCGAGGCGCGGAAGAATTCCCGAATATGAGATTGTTCCGCCATTTCTAATGGTAACTCGCTTTGTTGAGTTACACGCACGTCGACACTCTCTCTTGGGCATAAGAAGTCTTGCTGGTGGATAGGAGAGATAGCAGAGAGCTTGGACTCATCAGACATTGTGAAGTCAGAAAAGTTGTCATCGGCATTGACTGGAAGAGAAAGCCGAACTTCTGGTGCTTTGCTGTTATGCTGGGTTGGTATGAAATTGAGGACGATAGAACTGCTTTTCGAGAGGGGGGGGTTCGACTTTCCCTTTCCGATTAATCTTGTGAAGGCAGCTGGGTGTGGCAGCACTGGAAGAAGCACGCGGTGTCCGGCAGTTCTCTTTCTTGAAGACGAAGGCGCTGCGTCCGAATGTAAGACATGGCCAAATGTTGCAGCAAACCGAACCTGGGCTCCATCCGTCTTCAGCTTTGATGTTTTGCGCAGAAGACGCTTGCTACTGGACAGCTTAAGTTGTGTTGAATTTTTCGGAGATGCTTTGCCTACAGGCATGACATATCGAGACCAGGTTCTCATCTTATTTCTCCAAGACAAGCTTCGCACCTCGCGCCCATGAGGCAGGAACATGCCCGTTTTTGAAGGAGGAAGCGTGCAGTAATCTGACATCGACTTGAAACCATCTCGAATATAACGATCCTGTAGTAAGAGTCTAAGTACGACGTCTGGAGGACTTTCGACTTGTAGACTTGGTGCGCTAGTGGCTGGTTTCGTGTTTGCAGCTGGACTATGTTGGTCCAACCACCTAACCTTCAATATCTGAGATGAAATTACTGATTAGCATCTTTTGAAGAGCAGGGAAGGGATGATGAAAATAAAATTACCGAGTCCTCTTTATGATATTGAATGGAGGTTTTGGTAATACTGGAGAGTCTGGCCAAGACATCTTTTTGTAAATCAAGAGAGTCGACCCCTTTGACAGAAAGCTCCTGTATCCGCATCGATGCCACGGCCTCGTCAATTCGCGACAAGATGGTGCGAACAGAAGCTTTGCGAGCGTAAATACCAAGTTCATGCTTCTTCTCGTTTGCTATAATCTCTTCATTGCTCTCCTCATCCAAAATATCGGATTGAAGAGACTTCAGAGCGCCAGTAGATGAATCTATTGATAGTTAGTCAATAGCTTGTAGATACAGTAAGACAATACTAACTAGAAATGAGCTCAAAAACATCTGGCCGAAGAGTCACAAACATAGCACCCAGGCCCTCGATTTGTTCCTGTATGTCGAGCGCCCAAGCGTCTTTCAGAATCAAGTAGGCAACTTTCTGCTTCGGTGAAAATGGGCCCAGTAGTTCAGGGTTTGAAGGAACCCATGCAGTTTCCTTGACGAGCCAGGGGTATTTTGGCGTTTCGTCCGTCGCTCTGTTGCTGATTTCCAAAGTTTGACGGAAATATGCGGTCAGTTGTTCTTTTGTGAATCCGTTAACAAGAGCCCGTATTATTTTATTGACGTCCTTTGCTTTCATCACACCCGAGTCTTTTGGTCGAAATTCCTCGATGTTCCTTCTCACTTGAGCGGAAATGTCGTCCAAGGCATCTGCATCATCTAGAAGGCTTGTCCAATCTAATTCCGACCCGAGAGCTCTTCTGTCCCGAGGGAGCGATACGACAGGGTTGGTTTTCCGCTTGAGTTTGTCTGGATTCGGGAGTATTAGAGCGCTTATGTCTTCCCCAAGAGCGGCTATGCTGATACTGTGTTTCTGTAGAAGCTGATGTTTGAATTCCCGCTTGGCATGACTCCTAGGCTCCTCTAAATCAGCAGACCCTTCACCTGTCTCGGCGATTGTGCTGTCATCCCCTGCTTGCGCCGTGGATACGGCTTCAGCATTGAAAGTTTCAGCTTCAGTGATGCTGATGCTCTCAGGTGTGAACCCCAGACTGTTGCTAGATACATCCTCAGGGCTAGCGCCCAAAGAACCCAGTGCATGACCAAGGACTATTTCGTTGTTGGAGGGTCGGTCGTCTTCGAGGGATTCTGTAGCCGTGGGAGTAGTTTTGTCATTGCTTTCGGAATCCTCATATTCTTTGGTGCCTGTTATGACCTCCCTAATCTCGGAAGCCCGATTTTCTTCATGGTTTGTTGTACTCTTGCCTCTGGATATTCGATGTTTTTCAACATTCGATGAACCCTTGGAAGCGGCTTCCCTCCACGATTTCAAGTTCTTTGAGCGACCAAGGGTTGGCCTCAGATCATATAATTGACTGTGGATATTCGATCTCGAGGTAGATATCTCGCCATCCCGGTCCCTGGAAGCCTTTTGCTTCTCGCCAGAAGGTCTTTTCTTCTCGCCAGCAGGTTTTTTCTTCTCACCAGCAGGTTTTTTCTTCTCGCCAGAGGGTTTTTTCTTCTCGCCAGAAGGCTTCTTCTGCTCGCTAGCAGGCTTCTTCTGCTCTGAAGAGAGTCCCCAGTCCGGCAATTCGTCGTCTCGTATTCTCCGAGACTTGGGCGTATTTTGTCGCTTCCTGCCCCGAGAAGGCTTGTCCTCCTCCCAAGGCTTCCCTGAAATGAGGGCCTCTATCCTGGCTTTACTCTGAACAACAGAGGAGTCATTTCCGCGTCGCTGGAGTACGGTGTCGGGGTGGAAGAAACGGGCGGCGCTGAAGGTTGGGTTCCGGCGAAGTAGGAGGCCCTGCCGGCATGATTGGCAAATGCGCGGCACGCATGCCACCTGTGAAATCATGAATGAGAAAGAGGGCGAACAGCTATCGCAACGGAGCGAGTGCCGTTCCAATTTCCCGGATCGCAGCTGCTGAACGTAGAGCTTCAAATGGGTCGCTGTTGGCCGCAATAATTTTTGCGGCGATAAGATAACCGATAAGATAGAACACGCCAAAATTAATTGATTGAGACGCGTTCCGGAGCATTGCATCACTTGCTGGAGCACTACCCCTCAGCTATTTAGACTCCCAGCACAGTTACCGTTTCAATTCGAATAAATACTGCCGAATCTGATTTATCTAACATCCACAACGTTGACTGACGCTGATTTTAATCTTTGGTGTACCATATCTCTCAACATGTCCTCAACGCAGAGGCGTCGACGAACGGTGAGAGCTCTCTGCCTTCCGCGCCATGTAGTCACCAGTTGTTAATTTTCCCCAGCGCGACCATCGCGATGATCCAGAGGAACAAGAACGGCCCCGCCAACGCATGAGCCGAAACGATCCTGATTCAGATGACGATGTTTCATCTCAGGATGATATGGACATGGACGCTCCCTCGGCAGCGCAAGACGCCGAGGAACAGCTCGTCAAGAAGCTTGTAAGATACGCGTTATCGTGCGAGTTTTCAAGAACCCCAATTAAGAGAGACGGAATCAAGGAGAGAGGTTGGAGATTCCGAATATAGAATCTGAAATGGCAAGGAGCTGGTAATTAACATGGCGCATAGTGCTTGGCAATGAGGGCCGCTCGTTCAGGCGCATCTACGCGCTTGCGCAGAAACAGTTACAAGAAGTCTGGGGCATGGAGCTCAGAGAGTTACCCCTCCGAGAGAAGTTATCACTTCACGAGAAACGGAAAGGTTTGTTTGTAATTTTCGGCACGCTGTTGTATCACCCTTCATGCTGACCCTAGTCTCTCTAGCAATGAGCTCAGCCTCGCAGGCGAAAGCGGGCTCAGGGACCTATGTCCTTTCCTCAATCTTACCGAGCGAATACCGAAGCGCAAGCATACTCGCACCCTCCAAATCCCCAAGCTCCGACGACGAAGCTACGTTTGCCGCTTTCTCTACATTGGTAGTATCATGTATCTGGTTTAGCGGAGGCGAGCTGAGTGACCAGAAGCTCAATCGGTATCTCACGCGGCTCAACGCAGATCAGAACGTATCAGCAGAGAAAACAGAAGTCGTATTGAAGAGAATGGAAAAACAAAATTATGTGGTCAAGAGGGTCGACCGTCCGCCTGTGGGTCAGGACGGTGAATATTCAATTACCTGGCATATTGGACCTCGGGCTAAGGACGAGATCGGGCTTGATGGCGTCATGGGGATGACGAGGGAGGTGTATGGGGACACAGAGCCAGAGTTGGAGAAGAAGCTCCGGGCCAGCCTGGGGATTAAGCAAAGCGGTGCGGATGCCGCTGCCGAGGAGGAGGAAGTTGGCGAGCCATCGACGAGCCGGAGGGGATCTGGCGCCGGTATGAATTGAAGCAAGTACGAATCATGAAACGAAAATATAATATTGACACACCAAGCCACCAGCTTGTTTGTTTCTCCTTGCTTTTGTGTGACGGAAATTGTTGAATGCATTGATAACGCTTTGGAGAATAAATCCTAAGTGTGGCTACACGGGTATTTCGCAAGAATAAACGCCATTCCCAATATTGAGCTTATCTCGGTCTTCGATTCGGTGCTGTGGTGGGCCAACCGAGCAACTCTGGAGTCTTTCAATTTGAACTGTTGTGACACGGGTGAATCGAACGCTGGCCGATACTCATTCTTCTTTTTGGGGTGGTGGTCCGCAAGGCTGGATCATTTTCTGATCGCGGCGTACCAGTTAGCAAGATGGAAGCGCCAAAAGCCGAGATCAAATGAGAATTGGAGGGCAGAGAAAGGACGCCGGGTAGAATGGGGCGAGCGCAGCACGTACCCGTATCATCTGAGCTCGAACCTTGGCTACAGGCTCGTTCTCGGCGAGCGCGATGTACGACAACAGAGGCCTGTGCCCGGCGATGGAAGAATATGTGTCGCGTTGGATGTTGGTTCGCCACTCCCAGCTCGTCGTATCGGGGTGGCCAGTGCCGACGTACTTGGCCTGGAGGCGCTCGAGTTCTTGTTGGTTGCGAAGCTTGTCGGCCTATGTGCGCGAGAAACCATGAGCGAGATTAGATCGCGGACAAGATCACTAAAGGGGATGGGGTTGCTTACCATTGTTGCGGGTAACAGATGATAGTGGTTTTGACTGAAGGTGGAGGTTGAAGTTGACCGATTGCTTGACTCTCGAGGTTGATGATATTTGCGACAAGCGGAATATCTTCGGGTGGGGCGATTTTGTAGATGCAGCGCGGGTTGACATGAACCTGGAACCTACAACCAAGCATACACGCATACTACTTTTTAATCTCAACAGAGTTTCGACAAGAACATAGTGAATTTCTTATTCCAATTCAATACTTCAGAAAATTGAAGCAGGGTCTTGGGCTTTTATCCTTGAACCCAAGCAATCACCCCAGTGGTGTGGACTATTACACTCTTCCTCATCCGGAGCACCTCTCTGAGTGAGAACGCGCGCGCTCGCTGACGGGTGGCTCCCGCAGGTGGGGGACAATTGATCTCATCTTTTCCCCTTCGCGATAAGCCGGGTCTTCTTCGAGATGGCATGGGTGTCGAATTGCGCCCTTCCAGAGCATTGGTCTGAGCTCAATGCAGCGAGGAAACAGAGGCAGCAATGCGCCCAAGACATCCAGAGGATCAAAATTGCGTGCGCATCAGGATGCGGCAAGAGCCATGTGTCGGAGTGTTCTGACTGTTACAAGAAGGTCCTGGACAGGATGCTGGCACGATACAGCAATGAGGCGGGCGGAGAGTGGTTCTCTCAGCGCAGCGCGTTCGTGTTGGAGCTGGAGGACCAGTTCGCGCAGGCAAAGGAGAAGAAGCTGGCGCTCAAGGAGATCGAGTCCAACATTGAATCCGAGAAAGAGGCTTGGTATCGCTGGGTGTTGCGGCGCCACCCGGAGTTCCTGGCCGTTACTGATTGTGGCGTTGAACTGGATGAGCTCAGGGCTGTCCTCGACGATCCCGACCGTTCCAAGGATGAGCTTGTGAAGATAGTGTGGGAGGCTGTGGGTAAACCCCAGGACTGGTCTCCTAAAGTCGACGAGTTTGCCAACAAAGTTGCGTCTGTTGGCGAGGATCAAGCAGCATTGAGGAAGCTCTATGTCGACGAGTTCCTGAAGGATCGTGTCACTGGAGCACCTGTCAAGGGTGCCGAGAAATACATTGAGATGTATTCGGAGAAGCCAGATATGCGATTAGAGGAGATTATCGACAGTATTATCTCTGAAAACAAAACTAGCCAGCGCTTTCAGGAACAACGGGAAATTCACCAGGGCAGGCTGGAGGAGCTACGGCGAGCAAAGACCGCTTTTGAACAGGACAATCCCGCAGCGGTCTCAAAAGGCCAGCAACGAAAATCGGCATCTGCCAACGCAAACGAAAAGCCAGTTGATCTCCCACCATGTTCGGTCTGCCATAAGGAAGTGGATCCCAAAGATGTTCTCTCATGTTCTGTTTGCCAGGCTGTCAATCTTATGGGAGGGGAGAAAACGCTCACTACTTATTGTACAGAAACATGCTTTCACGAAGGATATGTAAGTCTGCATGAATTTACCAGATTGTGCATCGATTCAGAGAAGATACTTGGGTACTGACCTAGAGGCAGGAGCATCATATAGAGAGCGAACATGACTGTACGTCTGGTGACCAGTGTGTGCAGGAGGGTGATGAAGACGAAGAGATGAAAGACGACATTAATGGGACAGTTATCTGCCTACGCTGTTTAGATGAGAAGAAGATGTCACTCTTCTGCTCGTCAAGATGCGCCTACCAGAACTTACCATCACATCTTGACGCCCAACATGGATTTAAAGGTGTAGCGCCACAGGAGGTTCAGAATCTAGTGAAACATGTTGAGCAGGTAGTGGAAGAAACGCTTCGGAAGCAGAACCCTGGTCTTGAATTTTCCTGGACCAGCTGAGCCGGCGTGAAACGACTGTCATATGGCCGAACTGCCTTGTCATTTGTTGATTTGTATAGAATATATCCAGGACCGGCATCTATATGTCGCATACTTTCTCTTTTTGTTCAAAGAGATACAGAGCATATATTCACAGAGTCTGAATAGTTATCTTGCTATTGATGGAATTAATTTAATTACATTTGCTAATGAAACACTAGTAGCCACAGAAGGAGGGGGGCGGGTATAGCGGGCGCTTGTGTAGAAACGGTTCCGTTTTGTACGATACATAAACGGTCCGCTACTAAAAACCAGTTCCGCCAGTGGTGTTTGGACTTGAGTAAGAACTGGTCTCAGGCAATGATCTTAGCGAGGATCATACCGCTAGACCACCAGACTATTTAGGTAGGTTGGTATGTAAGCATCAGATGATCACGTGATGCTCCTTAAGCTGTGTCAAGACATAAAGTACCATCCAAATCTGAAAATAATTATCCTTGGGCAAGACAAGATTTACGTAGCGACGTAGGCGATAATTTGTATGAACTTTTGGAGAAGATGATGCGCTGCTTAGAACGCTGGGCCGCAGGATCTTAGCTCCGCCTATGCCTCCTCCAACCCCAGATCGTGATGAGAAAGCAAAGATCTACAGGGGGTAGGAGAGATAAGTTATTGAGAGTTTGGGACATGGTTTCATGAAATTCGAGATAGTCTTCGCATTCTAATCAGATCTTTTGCAAGGTTTCAATTGATTTGGGGTTGCTGAGGCTAGGCAGCATAGATCCAACCATGGAGAACGACGAACTGATCCTTTCCATCCAGCACCTGCATGCCATACCCATGTGCCCTGAAGAATCATATTAATCAATCAAATATGGTCAATCCGCCGTCTAGTGATCTCAGCCCTGTACTACCGCCGTGATACTACACCAGTATCATCACACCGATGGCTTGTGCAGCGGAGGGAGAAAGAGACCCACTGGGCCAGATGCCGGGAGCCAGCGGCGTTTTGGGCAGGATTCGGCCTGTTGTTGCTCCGCTGTTCCCTCCATTTTAAACCTGATTTGTGTTGCTCTGCGCCGGCGCGGCGCCGATTGTCCCCATTCCTCTGCTGGATTTGAGCTGGAAGCATCGCCTGACGTTTACCAATTCTTTACAAGTATCAGGGAAGACATCCATCACCTCCCTTCGCCTACAAAACCATCCCCTGCAAGCACGTCCATCCAAGGCTACCCACACAAAATCGTCTGATTTTCTCTTGGCCTGGACTCCTCCGTCTGCTAAACGGGGCAGCCGGCATCATGGACATTGAGACGGAATCCACCGAGGCCAGAACTACCGATTCTACTGGCCGAAGAAGGGTACAGACGGCGTGTGAGGCCTGTAGAGCATGCAAGATCAAGTGCCAACCCAGCGAACAGCCTGGAGTATGCCGAAAGTAAGCAGCTGCTGAGCATGGTTATTTGATGCTCTTGAGCCACCCGTTATTGAAGGAGACACCTGCTTACTGCTTATGATTCTGCCAGATGTCTTGACACCAAGAAGGAATGCATCTCCAGGACGGGGCCAAGGACCCGGAGGTCCAGGAAGACCGGGCTCAGGACGTAAGTGAATTCCCTCTCGCTTTCTGTTGCAATGCAATCACCTATTCCTTGAGTGTTTTGGATAGTTATGTCGCTGATGCCCTCTGAAGTAGCCCTGATGGCCAGCTTAAACCCCCCAACTCAGCTCCAAATACTTCTGCTTCCAGCACATTTAGCATCAATTTTGATGTGCCTGCACCACCTGAGCCGGACGACAGTTTCGAGGTTTTGCGAGAAACGCACGAGAGTCTCATGGACTCTCTCCTACCCCCTGTAGAAGGAGATGATGATATTGGCTTCGGCCAAGACCACGACTCCTTCATATCAGGACTACCCACCCCAGGGGCTTCCTCAACCTCAAACTCTCATTCCATTGAAGATCTTAATGGGAAGCCGCAGTTCAACCTGTCGTCTGCAGAGTCGCTATTGGAGGCATTCCACGCCATGATACCTCAATTCCCATGTATACTTCTTCCGCAAGACGCCACAGTCCCTACTCTGGCAGCTAGCAAGCCGTTTCTTCTGCTGGCAATCTTGGCCTCTACTTCAGGGTCCAAGACGCTCCAGGGCCACACCCTATACGATGCCGAGTTTCGAAAAGTTCTCGGGCTCAAGTTTGTTGCTGGCGGGGAGAGAAATCTCCAACTCCTCCAGGGACTTCTCATCTATTGCGCATGGTAAGCACGTCCCAGAAAGATAATGTAATGGAGGGATTAGGAACGAAGAAGTGTTGCTTTTGGCATGGGCCCTTGGTTTACCTGTCTAACTTGGACTGCTCTCTAGGTACCCATTTCATCTGCGACCCAGGAACAAGCAAGTGTTTCACTACATTCGCATGATTGGTGACTTGATCCATGATCTTGATCTTGACCAAGATATCCCTGAGTATATGATTGGGGACATCACTGACGACCGGCTTGATGGAATTCGAGCCTATCTTGGTTACTCCTATCTTGTCTCGGCGTACGCCTATCACCCACCTCTTTACCTAGTCTTGCTCGGTTGCTTACTTGTTACTAGGTTTCTCATCTCTTGGAGAGTTATGAAGAACATGGCATCCAACATCACACCTTGGACCCTAAGATGCTGCGATATCCTTGAGAAACATGCCACATCCGACAACGACAGAGTCCTTGCTACACTTACAAGAATATGCAGCATCAACTCCCACGCCGCAGATGCGGTTTATGAGAGCACCGATAAGTCTAGCGAGCAGAAGCGACTCCTTCTGTTAGGTTTGGAGACGCAACTGCGCGAGCTTCAGCAGCAGCTACCAAGCCAGATATCCTCAGCTCGTACGCCCACCCCTTTGACCTTCTACCCTACCCCTGACAGACGTACTAACTTTCTTACCTTGGTAGAATCTGTCCAACTGTCAACGCTTTTCATAGACTTTTTCCTTACTTCAAGCAGCATCATCCCGGCCTACCCACGATCCAAGGAACTCCGGAACGGCTCGTCTCTCCAAGTTTCCCCTTCAAAACTATGTGTCGCAGTAGCTCACCTGAGGCGATACTTTGATTGTCTGCTTTCCCTCACTCGCAAAAACTTCACCGCGTTCATTGTCGTCGACTGGTGCCGTGTCGTCCTGGGTGTTGTCGTCGCACTCCGCA